CCTACCTTGAATTTATCTCCAGCATCTTCAATCACAAAAGTCACATTACTTGCTGAGTGAATGAAGGAATGAGAATAGTGACAAAAGCAATTAGGTCATAAGAGTCTTTGTTGTGGTGTCTAGCAGTAAATTCAAAGTATCTGAAAGTCATTATTACTAACTGTCCATCACTGTGGTCAGTACTAGCCAAAAATTCCTACACTGAGATCCCTGGACCTCATGATATGACCACATCTGGAGACAAGGTCTAATCTGAAAATTAGGTCATTAGTGTGATCTCTAATCCAACACAACCAGCATCTTCCTATGATGAGGAGCACTGCACACATGTTACCTGTACTGCTGAGATGAGCAGCCCTTTCCAAGCTCTTACTCTCCTGTTCAAAGAACTTAATGGGCCTGTCGCATAAAATATCCTCCCACTCAGTAAACTTCAGTTCCTGTTACAGTTCCTATTACTTCTGTTCTTTTGAAACAGCTGCTTTCTGTGATGCATAGCTGCTGGTCATCATGATGCATACTGTAAGAACCAATTAAAGACAGTCAAGTACTCTGCCTCTGCACTTCCCTTTTGCAACCCCATAAAAACCTTCCACCCTTGAGGCCTTTTTTTTAATAAGGATTGATTCCTCGTCAGCATCCATTGACATTAAATAAATTTGCCTCCAAATCCTGGGTGATGTTTTGGTGTTTCTGTTTGCCAAATATTGAATATAAAAGTTTAACAATTATTTAGAGTAGAAGAAACAGAAGCACAAAAGAAGTGCACAACAAGAAAAGGTGCTCTGAAAAGAAATGCTCTTCATGTGAGGGTGGCTGGTCAAGGTAGGAAAAGTTCACCTAGCAGAATGAGGACAGCCTGTAAAAGCTCACAGCAACCTCAAGTTTGATGACCACTGCATTTGGGGGGGGGGGTTCTCTTTTGACATCAGATCTAAGCTGCCCCATTACAACCCACTTAATCTTGCACTGCATGACTGGTGTCGGATGCCAGGCTCAGCTTGTTCCCACACCAGAGGAACTGGAGATAGCTTTCTCCAGGTTGATGTGGGGGCCGGGCTCTGTGCTCATACTTGGATCTCTGGGATAAACAATTCTCCATGATTCATGGTCAAGCCCAATCACCAAGCCACTTTACCATGCCATAGTCTCCTACCTCAGATTGTACTGATGGCGCTTGTGGGAAGACACTGGGAGACAACAAAGACCTATGAACCCAGGAGAGACCTTGAGAGAAACCAGCACTGTTGACCTTGATATCAGACTCCCACCTTCAGGACTGTGACAAAATAGACCAGGTACTTAGCCATGGCAGCAGCCCTTCAGTCTAGAAAGTAGCAATGAAACCTGGCTAATGTGGCTCTTCTTCTTCTGGACAGAGTATCTGGAATGAATGATGCTACAGCTGGAGCCTTCAAGGTATTCTTAGCCTTGGCCTTGTAATCGACAGTTGCCACAGCCCTAGATAAAACCAGGAACACAGCATCATGTGTCCTCACTAACAAAAAGACAAAATCTTCTCCAGAAAGCCCCCGGTAGCCTCCTTGGCACACAGCACCTCCTATGCTCTGAACTTTGTCTTCTGGAATCACAGTGTCCTCACCCCAATATTTATCACTCCCACACCTTGGCAAAGCCCTCTGTTTGCCTTCTCTGGGCTTCAACCCTTCCTTCTTCCCCTCCCCTCCCCTCCATTTGGTTTCTTTACTTAACCTGGGCTCTGCAGCATGTCTTCCCAAATGCACCTTAATCACTACACATGTTCTACGTCCACTTTGCAACCTCAAAATGGTAGTTTCCCTTCTCACCTTTGAGCTAGCAAGACTTGTGAAGAAGTATCCAGGAATGGGCATGGTGTTGGATACATGTAATATCAGGACTCTACAAGTCTGAGACTGAAGAAACATGCATGGCCTGGGCAACTTACAGATACAAAAGATTCTTAAAGCTGGGGAAGCAGCTCGGTTCAAAGTCTCTGGGTTCAGTCCCCAGCACTGAAAAACAAAATTCATGCTTCTGGGCCCACAACTACCTTCTATCTAATTTTGGTTAGAGATTTGCTATCTCTTTGCAGCCCTTTCACTCCTCGCTTATCAACTCTCCATCAAACCTCTCTTACTTTTCAACTTACTTTTCAACTGTTTCAAACTCTTCTGCTTGTTTCACAGCTCAACCTTCTTCCAAGCAGATGAGTTGCTCCCTCCCCTGGACTCAAAACACAAGTAGACCAACCTTGCTAGGAAGGATCTAGGTGTCCTCAGAGATCCTCACCTATCCCACTGGCCTCTTAGCCTCTCCACTTGAATTTGAATTGCATGCATGAAATAGCCTATGCAGCTACTGATATTCTCACAGGGTCCTTTTCCCTTCTGTTCCTTAAGAGAAGAGATGATATTTATTCACATCGTATTTTCCAGCAGTACCTGCTGTCATCAGTTACCTGTCATAATTATCAGGTACCAGTCAAACAAAACCCCTGCTCTTCCCCAGTCTGCTAGTTAACACTGCACATAACCGCTCTCCTCTGGGTCAACAACAGTTCCATGGGTGTTGGCTTCCCACATCCCTCACTCTGCAAACTGAGTGGTCCTTGTGGCAGGGGGATGTTGGAGAGCCCTGGGACAGGAAGTGAGCAGCACAGCCACCCAGGCCTGTGAGTGCTATCATGTTTCACAGAGCCAAAGTTGGCAGGACACTGTGGCCACGTCAGTAACCAAGCAAGGGTGAGGTGGAAAGGCTTGAATGGTACACCTGAAATGCACCAGGAGCAGAAGGCTTGAGAGGCTGCCCCCTTGCCAGCCACATGAGGAGCCACAGCTTCATGGGTGCATGCAGAAGACATCAGACTCCTGGATAAGAGCCAGGGCTCCTCTTCTCATGGCAGCAGCAGCAGCAATGCAAGAGTGCTCCCTGCAATCCAGGTAACTTCAAAGATGTGTTTTCAGCAGTGTACTGCATTCCAGGAGAGCACTCTGTGCCCAGTGCACCCTAATTTTTCATAGTGGGCATAGGCCTGTCCTTTTCTTCAGATAGAAATGCTGCCTGTCTTCTGGGACTGTTCTCTGTGTATTCTTTAAAACAGGCCAGAACAAAGCCACATTTCTTGCAAAAAGTGCAACCATGAGAGATCTATGGAGAATGCAATCCTGGCCCTGTGTTGGAAGTGACCTGTAAAATTGTTAATTATTCCACTATGCAGCCTGGCTCCCCTCTTATTTCCTGGACTGGCTGTATTTCCTGAGAGGATGTATTTTATTCATCTCAGAATCATTCAACAACAGTTAACTATAAAATGAATCAATAAATTCACAATTGTGACTCTACACACACACACACACACACACACACACACCCTTACCTAAAAAACTAATATATCCACTCCCACATTACATTTTTTTAAAAAGTAAGCTGGATAAACTCCAGGAAAAGAAGCACTGTTCTTAGCCCTGGCACACTGGGTGGCGTCTGGTACCTCACACCATGACAAGTGGTGGTGACATGACAGTGACTTGAGCATGAGGAATCATGTGTTTTCCTTGATCTCAGCCCAAATCTATAGCACTGTGCCAAGGCAATCAACCAATGCCAAACTGCACAGAAGCCTGATGGCAGGCTCCTCCACTGTGGGCGGAAACTGGAATTTGCCAGTACAAACAGCTAGGAACCATACATATTTGTGTTCAAAACTAAAAATGTACTCAACAAATTAAAATATAATGCTGAATGGCTATAGCACGTTCATCTGACTCTAGGGTTTATTACCAGTCTGCAAGTATTTGTGGGTCATGTGGAGAAAACACTGTACCAAGAGTCAAGCGTCTTCGTTTTTGGTGCCATCTCAGCCACTAACTATCTTAGGGCCAGTAACTCTGGCCTCAGTTTCTTTTTCTTTTTTTTTTTTTTTTTTTTTTTTTTTTTTTGCGGTACTGGGGATTGAACTCATGACCTCGCGCTTGCCAGGCAGGTGCTTATGCCACTGAGCTAAATATCCAGTCCTGGCCTCAGTTTCGTATGCAGAATAAGAGTGGAGAGATTAGACCAGGTGAACTACATTCACTTTTAAGTATTCTGTATATTAAAACTAAGCAATAGTTAAATAACTAAATAATCACATTTTAGCCACATTCACAGAATGCGTAACAGAATTTTCCCATGCTTTGCTAAGACTTATAACTAAAGTTCTGAAGACCCAAGGATTGAGCTTTCTAATCTACTAGTGTGCTAACAACATAAAAAGGCCTTTCTGAACCCTTCTTCAGTGACAGGCACATTTCAGTGTGGTTTGTCTGGAGATAATAGAGTGGTGACAGATGCCAGCGGATAGGTACTCCTCTCCAGGCAGGGCCAACTCAGTTGTCCCCAGGAGGAGCCTGTGAGCATCAAGTAGTGTCCTCTCAGTGTAGTGACAGCACTGTCACTACAAATACATGGCCCAGATTTCCTGTCCTGCATCTATTAATATGGTCAGGTAATTCTTATTTTCTTTTTGAGATTGTCTCATGTTTCCCAGACATACTTCAATGTATCTGTGCTACTCTTACAATTCAAGGGAACACAGTCATCAAACAGGTCATAATTAGCCTCACTGAGCTACATCTGTCTTAAAAACGTGAGCTAATCTGCAATCTAGAGGATATGAAACATAGAGAAGACAGTTTTCTAAAATCCAAATAAGATCTTTGCAATGGGTTTAAGGTTATCAGAAGACCTCAGAGTGCTCACAATCAATTCACAAATATTCTTTAGTTTACTTAAAAGTATGAGAGATGATAAACATATTTAGGACACTCAACGATCACTGTCAATTCACAGGTAATAGATTTTTTTTCCTTATGGGGAACAGTAGCAGAGGCTGGCAGACAATAAGAACATTGTGCCTGCTCCACCAGCTCAGAGAATAAATCTCCTATACAGAGATGACCAGTAAGGTCGGCACAACAGGCTGGGGCTGAACCTCTTGCCGGATACAAGGCGGAAGCGGAAGCTCCGCCGCTGTAGCCATGACGACGCGGGGCGGGGCGTCCGGAGAGCGCGACCTTTGACCCGCAATTGCGGCTACGTCGGCGACGGCCGGGGATAGAAGCGCCCCAGAGGCGGCGGCGGGCTGTAGGTGTTTGCACCGCAGGGATGGAGGTAACAGGGCTGAGGCCGAGGGGACCGGAGGACAGGGCTGGGGGCCGGGCTGAGGACGTAGAGATGACGGCATCGAGCCCCCCACCCTGTCGTCCACCCGCCGCGTTCTCTCCTCACCTGCGGACCGCGACCCTCCTTCCGAGGGGGACGGAGCCTGCTGACCCCGGCTTGGCTTGTTTTGCAGGACCCTGCCCAGGACGGGGTGACCGCCCCAGCCGCCCCAGGCGCCGCGAGATCCAAGGTGGGAGAAGGCGCAGGCGGCGGGCGGGAGCGGCAGGGAATGGTTCGGAGGAGGCCTGACCCCGAGACACGCCTTTCTCTCCAGGACACAGTTTTGCTTTCCAGTCACCCATCCATTTCCTGATGTTCTTTCTTTTCTTCTTAAAAAAACTTGCCGTTAGGGACATGCTTTGTTTACTTCCTGCTCCTAGTTAGTAATGCTGGCTTTGAGACGTTAAGCAGTTCCTGCAACATTAAAGCTGTGTAATTTATGGAGGTTTAAATAGTCGTGAGGGGGAAAGAGCAGGGACTGTGGTGGGCACCAGGTCGTTTTTATGGCACCAAACTGTGTTAACACTGAACGATTCCCGGTGATAGTGGCTTATTGCTGAAGTTTATTGTTCCGCGATTCCAGCTGATAGTGGCTTATTGCTGAGGTGTATTGTTTGCATGCTGAGCTTTAGACACTGTCCAAACACTCAGTTCCTGCACCTAAGTTCCTGGTAACATGAGGTGGGTGCTGCTGTTCTTATTTTATAGGTAAGAAGACAGCCCACACAGCTGCATTTTTAGTTAGAGCCTAAATTCATTTTGTTGCTGTAATTATACTTAAGTTTTCTCACAGCCAGAGACAACTTTCAGCTAGGCATAAAATGAGTTTCACAGCTTTTAATTGACGCTAGTTCTAATCCCTGATTGTCCAGTTAAATCAAAACCTAGGAAATGTCAGTCTCTTGCAGCTGTATCTATTAGAGATTTTGTGCTGATTTTTGTCCACTAATAACTGTTGAGTTGAAGTTAGATTTGCTGATGCTTAGAAATATTGAACAAAGGTGTAGTGTTTGGTTGGCATCAAGTTTTGTCCAGCATAATGTCTTGATATTTAGATGGGCATTGTTTCTTTTTGTGGCATTTTACAAGCATGAATTATAACAAGTTGGTAACATCTTTCAGCTGGAAACTCTGCCTAAAGAAGATCTCATCAAGTTTGCCAAGAAGCAGATGATGCTGCTACAGAAAGCTAAATCAAAGTGTACAGGTATTGAGTTGAAAATACTCATCTTATCTATGCATGGCAGTTTTTAGGTAGCCATAGCCTGTTTTTATTTTCTTGTAATTTCAAGTACATTTTAGTCTCTGTACTGGGATCTTAACATTCTAATCATTTACCTCATGATGTTGATGATGATTTCTCATGTATAAACTGTAGCTACTTTTGGGTTAAAATTAGGGAAGATGATTTAAAAAATAAAAAACCTTGTAAAGTTAGAATTTTTTTCCTTCATATGCATTGTAGATTTTTCTCAGTTATGATGTGTTTTCTAGAGGAGTCCTTTGAAATGAGACAAAATTGTACACACAAAGACATAATAAAAATACTCAATAAAATTACAAAGTATTGCCATTGCAGTATGAAGCTGATTATGTATTCAGTTTCTTATTCAAAGAAAAAAAGTTGTATCCCGTATTAATGTAAGTGGATAAGCTTTGAATTTCTAGTGACTTAAAAATATTTACTGCCCTGTCTAAAATCTAAGACTTTTTGCCAGAAAAAAGGATCACATTATGTTTTGGAAGTTTTCTCAGCTTATATTTAAGAGAGTAATTTATTTGGAAAGATGTTCTAGGCTCCAGAGTAGGCATGATGAAATACTTAGATTAGCATTTATACTTACTATGTGGTTAGTTACTACTATAAGATTATAGGTAAGAAGTGTTTACAACTGAAAATAATAGTCTGGGATTCACTTTAAAATTATCAGGGTAGCTGGACACAGTGGCACACATCTGTAGTCCCTGTAGCCTCAGGGGACTGAGGCAGGAGGATCACTTGAGTAGGCATTTAAGGCCAGCCTAGGCAACACAGCAAGACTCCAAAGACTTCAAAGTGTAATTAAGAAAAAAGAAGTGCAGCTTAGTATGGAACCAAATTGTCAGGTGATAATTGCTGAAGCAGAGTGATGGGCACATTGAGATTCATCAATAATCACTATTTTCTCTACATTTTTGTTTGCTTGAAGTATTCCTTAATAAAAAGGAAAAGAAAATGTAATATAACCCTGTGGGTGAAATTAATAGTTCTCAAAGTATGTGCTCCTTAAGTATATTTTAATTTATAGATTTTGGAGATTTTTTAGAATATACTTCACAGTTTAGTAATTTTTTTCTTCATTTATGAACTAGAATGTTTTCTTACTTAGAATTGGAGAAAGAAATTGATGAACTCAAATCAAAACCTATTGATGGAGGAAGTGATGATATTATTAAGGTAATGAAATGGCTGTGAATGTTGCTTATTTATTAGAGGAAATGTCTGATGATGAATGGAATTTTCTTGAGGCTGTCAGCCTGCTGGAGATTATCTGACTTTCTGTCTGGCATTACCATTTCCTCCCTTGCCTTGATTAGAATTTTGACCCTCTGTTTTACTTTAATGATCTCCCGAGCTCTATCTGCAGGGCGTGTTCTGTCTCCTCTTCTGCCCACATACTCCCTAATTGTGGTTATAATTCAGACTGTTCTGTTCTGCCCTGTTGCCCTCAGAAAACCTGCCACGCTGGTTTCAGTGCAGTACTGGTACACAACTACAGATAGACCTGTGGATCCACATCCCTGGTCATGACTGTGGACCCCAAGCTCACAGATCTATCTCTAGCTGCCTGGGGGAAAATCTTCAGTCTCACATAACCAGCAGTCACCTCTGGCCAGCCAGCAGCACTACTAGTTCTTATGCCTTGTGACTCTAGAGATGTATTTACTCTCTAGGCTCCTGGAGAAACTGTGTCAGTCACGTTATGCTGGCGATTTGGTGTTGCTCTAGGACATGGCTCCATCTGCGTGGGCCTTCTGTCTCCCTGCGCCAGATGGGTAGGTGGTGCACTTGGGCTGCTATGTCGTCTTCCCAGAAGTGGCCTTTGGTAGTGACCTTGGGTACTTATGCTGGCCCACTGGCTGGGTTCCTGGTCACTCGTTGTCTGAGGTGATCATCTCACTTGGGTAGTGTATGTCTTTCTGCAGCTTTGTTAGGAAAGAGCATTTGGCAGGTCAGTTTTCATGTTGCTTTACATTTTAAAATGCCTTTACTCTATTCGACTTATAGCTGTGATTTGGTGTAGAACTCCAAGTTTTGTACACTGCTGTATCCTTGCTTTCTTAAGCCACAATATCAGAGCTTCACCTGTGAAGGTCAGAGGTGGGCAGCCCCTGTGGTTTTGTCTCCTGTTGGTGTCCTCAGGCCATGGAGGCTGAAGGAGAGCTGCTCGCTTGGGATGCTCATCTGGAGTACGTTTTCCTCCCAGTTTTCTACTTTGTCTAGGAAATGTCCGTGGCTTCATTTTTCCACCACCGTATTCAAGTTTTTATTTTTGAGTTTAAATGTTTAATTTCACAGAGCTCATTCTTGACGTCTGAGTATTCTTTTTACATGCATTTATTTAAAATTCCACATATTCTATCTTTCGGAGGAAATAAATTCATACTGTCTTAAAAACTTGCTTCTGGTTCTTTATTTATCTCATTTGTTTCCTTCACATTCAATTACTTTTAATGTTATCATCTGTGAAAATAAACAGCTAGGATTTTGAAAATATTCTGCATCTCCTTATGTGGTCCCTGCCCACCTTCTACCCAATTTTGGAATTTCTATACCCAAAGTGACCATCACCCTGAGTCCCCTCTTTCTTCCTTTGTACAAAGTTTTATTGCATCTATAAGTATCACTTAAAGATACTGTTTTGCCAGGTATGATAACACATGGCTGTAATCCCAGCACTTGGGAAACTGAGGCAGGAGGGTCACCATGAGTTCAAAGCCATCCTGAACTGTGTAGGGAAATCATGTTTCCAAAAAAAGGGGGAGGGGGGGATGTTAAATTTTAAATAAATAAAAATACTACTTTTTCCATTTTAACTTTTAACTTCATTGAAAAGATGCCATGTATTTTAGAATAAGGTTTTTCTTTCATGTCATCTCACATTGCCATGACTGCTGTAGAACCTCAATTTATCACTGGGGACTGTGGTTGGGCTTGGAGTTGTGCTCAGGCTTGTGCAGTAGAGTACAGTGCTGGAAATTTGTCAGCTGCATCTCAGTCTAAAGTGGTAAAGGATTCTTGGATGGAAATGAGTGGAATTGCAGTGTGAAAAGCTATATAAAGGCTCTGCTTTAAGAGATAATGCCAAACTACTAGTGCTCGAATCTTGGTGTTCTTTGATGCCATTATAAATGATGTCTTTTTTAAATTATGTTTCCTCATCATTTGCTAGCAGTATACAAAATGAAGCAAATTTTGTGTATTAATCATATCTAGAAACTGCATGAGATTCATTTTCTTGTTACCTGTGCATGCTCCTAGATTTTTTTGTATATCATTGATTAATAGTATCAATCTTTAATAGCGTCAGTGTTTTAAATATTAATCTTTTAAAATCTTTATTTCTCATAAGTTTTATTTTACTAGCCAGGATTTTTCTTTTTTTTTTTTGTACTGAGGATTGAACTCACAACCTCATGCTTGCCAGGCAGGTGCTTAAGCCTCTGAGCTAAACCCCTGGCCTCCTAGTTAGGATATTTGATACACTTTCTCTTTTGTTGAGTCAGTGTCTTGCTATATTGCATGTGTAGTCCTCCTACTTCAGCTTGCATTGGTACAGTCTTAATTAGAAGTGTTAGTGGGGAAGCTAATGTTTTATTTACAATTTTTGCATTTAGATTTGTAGTAAAGTGGATCTTCTATTTTTCCTTTTTGTAAAGTGCTTGGATATTGGTTTCTGATTTTGTAGACTATCTTAGGAATTATTTTTGCTTGTTTTGTCTGGATTATACCATGAAAGTGGTATAATCTTATCTATTCCCTGAAAATTATGATAGGACTCACCTGTACAACCATTTCTCTTTCTTTTTTTTGTTGGGGGGAGGGCTAATTTTTAACTGCATTTGAGTACCATATTATATTTTTTTTCTCCTTGAGTTGTAAAGCTACATTTTTCCAGGAGTCTATATCTGTCTTACTTTGGCTTTCAGTCTGTCTTTAACTTGCTTGTCGTTTTAGCTGCTACATGTTCAGATTGTCCATCAGACCCCATCTCTGGCCTCGTGCATTACCCCTTCCTGAGCAATGCTTGCTACCTTGGATTCCCTTTCTTCCCCTTCTTTCTCAGTGTTGAGATCTACCTGAGGGCCCCATTCATGCTGGCAAGCTCTCTCTCTCTAGCTGTATCCCCAGCCCTTGGTACCTCCCATCTCTGAGTATTTCATTTCCGGAGGGTCTTTGCTTGCTTTTCTGGGTTCCTGCCTATAGAAATCCTTACATTATAGCTTTATTTTATTCTGATTTAGTTCATCCTTCTTTGCGTTTATGTTCCCAAAAGTGTATGAAATTCTCATATGCCAATGCCTTTTCTCTTGTTCTCTTTGTCCTTATATTTGTACCTTTTAAAATTATTCTTTCCTTAGCAGGGTTTGGCAACTACGAGGAGAGAATTGCATGTGGTCAAGCCACATTTTTAACCTCACAAACAAATTTTCCTGTCTTGAAACAGGTGTTGACCGAGCGCCTGGACGCTGTTCTTCTGGAGAAAGCAGAGACCGAGCAGCAGTGTCTCTCTCTGAAAAAGGAAAATGCGAAAATCAAGCAGGAAGTTGAAGTAAGGCAACATGTTTTTTTGTTTTTGTTTTTCTTTTTGTTTTGTCTTTTTGAGGCAGGGTCTCTATGCAGTTCAGGCTGGCCTTGAGCTTACTTTGTAGCCCAGGCTGGTCTCGAACTCGCAACGGTCCTCTTGCCTCAGCTTCCCAAGTGCTGGGATTGCAGGTGTGAGCCACCACGCCCGTCAAGGCAATGCTTAATATTTTCTTTTTGATTTATAACAGTGTACTCATGCTAAGCCCATAGGAATTATCTAATACGGTTTTACAATATTAACAGAAAAAGATTTAAAAATAACTGAAATTATTCACTTACACAGAGATAGAGCTAACATTTATTATATTCTTTAATCTTCCTTAAAGCTACTACATTACATTCTTTAATAAAAATGAAGCAAGTAAGTTAACTTTTCATGTAACTTTTGTTTTTTGATTTTTTTTTTTTTTTTGGTAGGAGGAAGTGGGTCTTACTGTGTAGTTCAGGCTGGCCTTGAACTTGTACTCTCAGCCTCCCAAGTGCTGGGATTACAGGTATATACCACCATACCGGGCCTGATATAATTTTAAATACTGTTATCTGTTCAGCTGTAGAATATCCAGAATATCCAGTACCATCTTGGCACTTTCTTGCCTGTTGGGTCTAGGCTAATGTTTTCTTTTCTTTTCTTTTCTTTTTTTTTTTTTTTTTGCAGTAATGGGGATTGAACTCATGACCTCGTGCTTACCAGGCAGGCGCTTATGCCACTGAGCCAAATTACCGGCCCTAGGCTAATTTTTTCTTGAGTCTCTTCTTAATCTATTCAGGAGCTGTTAGTTGAAGCTTTATGACTTGTACAGATTTAACATCTTTTAGAAGAAAACAGTTCAGAGATTTCCTAGTTGTCAGTTACTATAACAGCCGTGCTATTGCTGATGTATGTGGCTCTTCTCGAGTTGGGCAGAGCCTTTGCAGAATGCCTGGACTCTTCGACATCATTCTCCAGGTCTTAGTCATCTCCTCTGCTCTCAGTTAGCTGTGACTGATTGTCTTTCCTAAGTGCAAATGTTTCTTTTGTCTGACTTAAATGATTTATGCTTATTTTTGTAATAGGATTCTGTAACTAAAATGGAAGATGAGCACAAGGAGTTTGAACAGTTGCACAGAAACTATGTGAAAGAAATTGAAGATTTGAAAAGTGAATTGATAACGGTACATTCCAAACACAATGAAGATAAGGCCGGCTTACAAAGGGAGCTAGAAGAAGCAATAAACAAACAGGCAGAGCTTTCAGAGCAACTTAAATTTCAGAGTAGCTCTGAAAGTGATATTAAAGAACTGCAAGATGAGAGTCAAAAAATGAGGTCAGCCTTTGAGGAACAAATTTTCTATCTGCAAAAGCAGTTAGAAGCTATCACTGATGAAAAAAAGCAAGCAGTTACTCACCTCCAAGAAGTCATGGAGGCGAATTCTCAACAGTACCAAAGAGATACTATTCGTTTGCAAGAAGAAGTGAAAGAACTGACACAACAGATTAAAGCATCAGCTAAAGAACATGAAGCAGAAATAAGTAAGTTAAACCAGCTGAAAGAGGACCTAGCGAGACAGTGTGAGGCCAGTGAGCAGACTATTCGCGAGAAATACAAATGTGAATTGGAAAACCTAAGGAAAGCCACATCGGATGCAAACCCAGACCTTCCTGTGGGTCCTGTCCTCTTACAGAAAGATACTTTTGTGGAACAGATAGTAAATGAAAAAACCAAATACTTACAGGATTCCTTAAAAGAACTGGAGTCTCAACATAGTATTTTAAAAGATGAGGTAACTTACATGAATAATCTTAAATTAAAACTTGAAATGGATGCACAGCATATAAAGGATGAGTTTTTTCATGAACGAGAAGACTTGGAATTTAAAATTAATGAACTGTTACTAGCTAAAGAAGAGCAGGGCTGTGTAATAGAAAAATTAAAATATGAGCTGGAAGATTTAAATAAACAGTTTCATTGTGCTATAGAACAACATAAAAAGGAAGTACAAAATCTCAAGGAAAAACATCAAAAAGAAGTATCAGAACTAAATGAGACATTTTTGTCAGGTTCCGAAAAAGAAAAATTAGCATTAATGTTTGAAATACAGGGTCTTAAGGAACAGTGTGAAAACCTTCAACAAGAAAAGCAAGAAGCAATATTAAATTATGAGAGTTTGCGAGAAATTATGGAAATTTTACAGACAGAACTAGGAGAATCTGCTGGAAAAATAAGTCAAGAGTTTGAATCAATGAAGCAACAGCAAGCATCTGATGTACATGAACTTCAGCAGAGGCTAAGGACTGCATTTAATGAAAAGGATGCTCTTCTAGAAACTGTGAATCTTCTCCAGGAAGAAAATGAAAAGTTGCTACATCAACGAGAGTTAGTGTCACAACTTGAAAATACCGTGAAGAGCCTTCAAGAAAAGAATGAAGTGTACTTACTTGGTCTTAGTCAAAGAAACGTGATGATACAAGAATTAGAAGCCAAAATAAGTTCTCTTGTAGAGGAAAAAGATGATTTCATAAGTAAAATTAAAAATTCTCATGAGGAGATAGATGGTCTGCATAGAAAGTGTGAGAGGGAAGAAAGCTTGGCTAGAGAACTTCGGGAGAAGCAAGAACAGGCCACCCAGTACAGCAGTGCATTAGAACGGCAGGTAAACGAGCTGACGGGAAGACTAGATGAGACTTTAAAAGAAAAGGTTGAAAATGACCAAAAACTGGAAAATCTTAAGGTACAAATGCAAACTATATCTAAAGACCAGGAAGCATTGTCATCAGAAGTGAAGTCTCTTTATGAAGAAAATAGTAGACTGTGTTCCGAAAAGGACCAGTTAAGTAGGGATTTGGAAATCCTAGTATCTCAAAAAGAAGATTTTACCCTAAAAGAACATATTACTGAATTAGAAAAGAAACTGCAGTTAATCATTGAAGAGCGAGATAACTTAAAAAAACTGTTTGAAAATGAGCAAGCTCAGAAGTCATTTGTTAAAACTCAGCTGTGTGGTTTTCTTAAACAAATGAGGTCGAGTGTTTCAGAAGAAAATGAAGAGGAAGATGTTAGACTTGTCCTACAAGCTGTAGGTGAATCCTTAGCAAAAGTAAATGAAGAAAATCACAACTTGGTTTTGCAGTATGTTGCAAGGGTGTTAGAATTAGAAAAAGAAGTGAAGTGCCTTCAAGAAAAGGCTGATCAATGTGAAGAACTTAGGTCTTTACTAAGAGACTTTGAGCAAGAGAAAATTCTCTTAAGACAAGAGTTAGAAGGAGCATTGTCAGAAAAAGAGACCTTGCAGTTTGATCTTTTAGAAATAAAGAATGCTAATGAGAAAAGGCTTGATAATCACAATCTTTCAATTCAAGTTGAGGAAGTATCTCATATATTACACAGCAAAACTGAAACTGAGGTCCATGATGAAAAACCTATGCCAGAACATGAAGACCTAAGGCCATTACTGGAACAAAAAGAAGTGGAATTGCAAGATGTAAGAGCAGAGTTGTTGTCATTAAAGGTACTGTTAATTTTATTGACAAAATCTTAGTTCTGGTGATAGACTTGAAAAAATACAAATTAACATTTTTACACTTTGCAATCAGAAGTAAGCTTTTAGCATTTAAGCCCAAGGGGCAAGTATGTGAAAAATACATTAAACACTTCCTTCTTGTATATCCTACTTATTGGTCATCTGGAAAATGTAGATCATTTTAAAATCTTGAACTTAAATGTTTAAATATCTGGGTCTAAATATAAGCAAAGAAGTTGCTCTAGTGGTATTTTGCCTTGGGTACAGTCTTAGGACTTAGGACACTGTTTAAAAATCTTTTCATCTGACCCTGAATTGCTTCTTACATTCTTTCCCTTTAGTAATGATTTTCTCATGTTTCAAATGATGGCTACTTCAGTATGCAGATGAAATTAATTGTTTTTTGTTTTTATTTCTCCTATAAAATCTAGGATTCCTTAGAGAAATTGTCTTTAAAAGATGATCAGCTTTCTTCAGTAAAAGAACTGGAGGAGAAAATCGGTAACTATGGTTGTTGTGTGTTGTCACCATTTTTGTGACCAATGCTGTTAGTGCTAGAAGAGATGGGGGAGGAAGCAGCCAGGTGACAAAAGGTTGGAACACAGGATGTTGCTGCGTCTCCCCCACCCACAATGCCCTCTACACTCTGTTCCTTTTCAGTTTCCTTTCTGCCATTTAGCATGAACAGCAAGCTGCTGTGACTCCATTTGTAGGTGGCTCTGTGGTGATTCTGAACTTCGCTCTTTGAAGGGTGTGATTTGTGTGCCCGGCTGTCCCAGACATCTGGGCAGAGAAGGCCAGTGAGGAAGGTCGTGTGCTCGGCTCACTGCCAGGAAGAGCCAGAAGGGAGTCCTGGGCTCTGTGTAGCTCAGGCTGACCTCCTCTCTCAGCCCCCCAAGCGCTGGGATCACCAGAGTGGTCATTATACCTGGCTGACCTGTGTTCAGTTAGGAAATGTGTCGCAGCATAGTGTTTTCATTCGGGACTTAAAAGAATGTGAAGTGTGACAGAAGAAAGTATCCTGGCAGGAGGAACAGCAGGCACTCTTCATGTTTGCAGTATCCAGGGTGCACTGTGGACTTCCTGGGAGGGTGCCGGCTGGCGGCAGTGCACTGCTGCTACAGCACATGCAGGGCCAATTGTTCCTACCTCCTCACTGCCTGTGGTGACACATGGTTGCGCTTCCATTCCCTTTGAAAATGGAGAAACAAAGACTTAGAAGTGTGGTACCCATGAAATCTGGAATGAGGTGCTGTTTTCAGCAAATTAGTTTAGGTACCACTTGACGTCAAGATGTTAGGGGGGGCCCTGCGTAAATGTGGAGTTAGGGGAGAACTAGAGATAAACTAATCATGAAATAGTGGGCTTCAAAAGCCATGAAAAAGCTAGGAATGGTGGCACACCTGTCATCCTAGCACTTGGAAGGCTGAGGCAGGAGAATCACTGCAAGTGAGAGATCAGCCTGGGCTGTGTAGTGAATTCAAGAGCAACTGAACCAATAGCGGAGACCCTGTCTCAAAAAACAAAAGGCGCTGAGATTGACATCATCATGTCAGTGTGGAAGCAAGGTGAGGACCAGAGACAGTTCTCATCTTCAGATGTTGGGAACAGCAAGGAGACAGGACAGCTGCAGCCTTACAGTGGAGGCCTGGCGCACACAGTAGCCCACAAATTAGGAGGGAGGGAGTGGAGGGTATTGCCGTGGTGGGCACTGCCAGCCCTGGGCTAGGACTGCAAGGGCAGTTGTTGTAGTACCTAGAGCCGGGGCTTGCTTGCAGTGAGTTCCCGGAAAACATGGGAAGGCAAATTTCAGAGCAGATAAGGATGACTCTTTGAAGGAATTTGTTCTGAAAAAGGAGAGAGACCATACATTGTTTGTAAACAGAAGAGTTAAACTTGTGATCTTAGCCCTTGGGAGAGGCTAAAGTAGGAGGATCACCATGAGTTCAAGGCCAGCCTGGGCTCCATAGTGAAACCGTGGCTCAAAAAGAAAAACAAAAACACCCCCCCCCCCCCAAAAAAAAAAAAAAACAGAAAAATTCAGAGTGCACGTGAGATGTGATCTCCCTTCTGCCCTCTTTGGCTACTTTCCCTGTTTGTTCCTGACCTGGAGTTCTTGCCTATAGTTGTCTGGCTGATTCAAGTCTGGGGGAAAGTGATGCTGTGGGGTGGTGGTAGTGGAGGAGGCTTGTGATGAAAGGCAGCCTGGACCTGTTGTCCCCCAGGCACACACAGACCATCAGGCAAGCAGAGGGATGCAGGCCCAAGGCCCAAGCCAAGGGAAGTCCTGAACGCTGCCTCTCAAGTAAGAGAGGTCACAGAGGTTGAGAGGAGACCAGATTGGGTGGGCCAACCATTTTACAGGTTAGTTGTAAAACTCAGATCTACCAAGCAAGAGGAGTCTGTAAATACTTAGCTGCATCTGATGCCCTCATTCCCTGGTCCCAGCTTTCAGACCACCATCTGGTATCCTGACAACCTCTCCTACTCTTAGACACTTGTAACATGACTTCTAAAGTGGCTGCGTTAGGCTGGGCATGGTGGTGCAGGCCTGGCATCCCAGTACTCTGGAGGCTGAGGCAGGAGGATGGCCACTAGTTTGAGACTAGTGTGGACTACATAGCAAGACACTGTCTTTAAGAAATAAAGTAGGCCTGTGTTAAAGAATCAAGAAAATGAAATATTTTTTAACATTTTTTTGCCATACTTTCATTTTAAAAAGAACATAATAAGCCGGGTGTGGTGGTGCATGCCTGTAATCCCAGTACTTGGCAGCTGAGGCAGGAGGATTCTTGTGCGTTCAAGACCAGCCTGGGCTACAAAGTGAGCTCAAGATCCGCCTGAATTGCATAATGAGACCCTGTCTCAAAAAGACAAACAAAACAAAACAAAAAGAACATACTAATGTGTGGTTGGTTTGGTTAAGGGGAAATGTACTGGGGATTGAACCCAGTGGCCTTCCTACTGAGCTGCATCCCCAGCCCTTTTTTATTTTCTATTTTGAAACAAGGTCTCAGTAAGTAGCTAAGTTGCTCCAAGTGGGCTCCAACTTGCTGTCTTCCTGCCTCAGCCTCCCAGAGTGCTTCTGTTACAGGCATGTGCCGTCATACCTAGCTAATACTGATGACTTTAATTTTAAGCTTTGGATTTTGTATTCCAAAAGAAAAAGCTTCTAGGGTTAAAATACGCAAGTAATTTCCCTTTTTTTCTTCTGACTTCATATGTAATCCTTTCATTTTCTGTTTTTTAGCAAATCTGGAAAAAGAATCCAAAGGGAAGGAGGAAAAACTAAGTAAGATAAAACTAGTTGCTGTAAAAGCAAAGAAAGAATTAGATTTTAGCAGAAAAGAGGTAAGCCAACTGAAAAGCACACCATTTGGGAATCTTACTTTTTAGGAAAGTCAAGAATTTTTCTATTCTTAAAATGCGAACTATATATTAAAATAGGCCCAGACTCTAAAGGAAGAGCTCGAATCTGTTCGGGCGGAGAAGGATCAGCTGTCTGTGTCCATGAGAGACCTCATCCAGGGAGCAGAGAGCTATAAGGTAAAAGGCGACCCGGTGCTGAGCGGCATCCCAACGCCAATGAGTTGGGAGTGCGCGGATGTGGAACCTGCGCCCCGCGAACAGCTGCCTTGTTTTTTGTCATTGTCCCCGCTTGTGTTAGTACAGTATGGTGGGCTACAAGATTGTAGAATGGCTAGCTTTTAAATAATGCCCCTAAGCTCTTGCTCTTTAAAAGTCAAATTCTCTTTGGGGATTTCCTAATTAAAAAACAAAATGGTGACTGTGATTCATGGCTGCTGTGTATCTGGCCAGATAAATAAACCGGAAGCCTAACCAGCAGGTCTGACAGGAGAGGGAAGCACGGTTGTCCGGAAGTAATGTACAAGATGCTTGTGAAAATGGTAAAGCCCAAACTTGCCCCCCACAAAGCCAGTGTCTTCCTGTTTCCTCACGTCCGCTCATTTAGCAGACAGCTGCTCTGCACAAGAATCCAAATCCAGGCTGGGCTGTGGTCAGTCAGCTGGGCCTCTGCCAGCCTGCCTTCCTGAACCCCTGGCCTGGGGGACTCGATTCTGTGGCTGTGACAGGCAAAGGACAGGATACACATTAGCAGCAAGGAGTGGAAGGGGAACTCGGTCCAAGAACATCCCCATAGTAGCCAGATAAAATTGGTGCAAAAGTTATACTTTTATTCTTTTTTTGTTTGTTTTTGTTTGGATAGAGGGTCTCACTGTTTAGTTCAGGCTGGCCTTGAATGCATTATGTAGCTCAGGCGGACCTTGAACTTGGGGCAATCCTCCTGCCTCAGCCTCCCAAATACTGGGATTACAGGTATGCGCCACCAAGTCCAGCTTTGGGCAATAGTTTTAATGAGCAGGTGGGCACTTAAAGGAAACTTCAAAATGTTTATAGGATGACGAATATTATCTGAAATATTACTTCTCAAATTCATTTGTAAATTATGAATAATTTCATTGAAAACCCTTAGGTTTTGTTGTCATTTTGGGGGGGATTTTGACAATTATTCTAGGTTTAAATGGAAAGTAAGCTAACAAGAAAAGCTAAAAGTTCTGGAAAAGACCACACACTAAAATTTATAGAGGAGCTGCAAATGTAGAGGATAATTTAGCGGAGGATGCAGGCAGATTCATGCAGAAGATGTGGGCCCCTCTGTGTCACAGGGGGCTGGTGAGCCAGGAGGATGCAGGCAGATACATGCAGAATATGTGGGCACCTGTGTGTCACAGCAGGCTGGTGAGCCAGGAGGACGCAGGCAGATTCATGCAGAAGATGTGGGCATCTCTGTGTTACAGCAGGCTGGTGAGCCAGGCGAACGCAGGCAGATTCATGCAGAAGTTGTGGGCACCTCTGTGTCACAGCGGGCTGGTGAGCCAGGCAAGCTCTGCTGACTCCCTGCTGCCAGCTATGTGGAGAAGGCTGTGGGCCAGTGAGGCACAGAGGCCCAGTAACCTCAGGGCTGGGTTTTACTTCCTGTTCAGATCTCTTCTTTCACCAGTGAAGCTGTGCTGTGCCAAAAATCAGTGAAGAAAGAGTTTGAGAACTTCAAGGTGATGGTGCACGCCTGTAATCGAGGCATGCAGGAAGCTGAGGCAGGAGGATTGCTGCAAGTTTGAGGCCATCCTAGGTTACATAAACAAGTTGAAGGGCAGTCTGTACTACCTAGTGAGACCCAGTCTCAAAAAACAAAAAGTAGCAAAAACTATTTAAGGAAATTAGTGAGTTTTTATTTCATTGTATATCAGGCTTAAGTTCTGGATGAATCAGAATGCTATATTTTGTAAAAAAGTTTTTAGAAATCATCTTTTAACTGACTTCTGGGTAGAAGAAACTTTTTAAAAGTAATTTAAGAAATTACAAAGGAGAAAATTGATAGATTGACCCTGGCCTACATCTGGAGGAAACCAATAAATGAGATGGTAAGTTCTCTTAGAACGCAGAATAAGCTCCTGACATAACAAATCTCAGAGGTGACTACATTCTGATCCTCATTCTTAGGGTATTTTCTAAAGCTGGATTTATATGACCTATTTTTTATTAAAGACACTGATGTTTTCTCTTATTTTCATAGTAAATTTACATTTTATGGTTCAGTATCATTTTCATATGCAAATCTGTTTTTATGTTTTCCAGTGTTTAAGCATAATAGAGTTGCAGAACTTACATCAGGATGGCTTGATTATATAGTCTGACCTATTAAATACATAATAACCTAAAGTAAAACCTTTTCTTTATTGAAGAGTCTTTTATTAGAATATGATAAGCAGTCAGAGCAGTTGGATATGGAAAAAGAACGTGCTAATAATTTCGAGCGTCTCATGGAAGATCTTACAAAACAATTAAGACATTCAGCTTTTCAGGTAATTTTAAATTGAGTACATGCTGTCTGGATTTTTGTTTGTTTTTTCATGTCTCCTTTTGCTCTGCCAGGGTGCATCTGGTCTCTTACAAGGTTTACCATGTTAACACCAACAGAGATACTTAAACTTGCTTGTGACTTATTGTCATTCTGTGGAACTGATTCTTAAATTTTCAGTTGTTACACTGTGTTAGTATTCTCTTTAATGCACTTTTTCGTCCTCTCCTACCTGTATTTGCCACGTGTTTACAACAAAAAATCATTTGTCATTTCAGTGTGAAAAATTAAGCTCTGACAATGAAGATCTCCTGGCTCGAGTTGAGACACTCCAGTCCAATGCTAAGCTATTGGAAGGACAGATTCTAGAGGCCCAGAGAGCCAAAGCAGTGGTAGACAAAGAACTAGAAGCTGAAAAGCTTCAGAAAGAGCAGAAGCTAAAGGTAAACACAATCCTGTAAAGTTGATCACATGTACAGTGACACTTTTATCAAAATATTTGAATGAAGAAAAGGCTTTCTACCCAGATGTGGTGGTTTATACCTTTAATCTCAGCACTCAGGAGCCTGAGACAGGAGGATTGCCATGAGTTTGAGGCCAACCTGAACTGCACAGTGTGACCCTATCTTTTAAAAAATAAATAAGGCTTTCTGAAGAAGTAGCATTGGTGGCTGGGCTTGATGATACACCTGTTATCCCAGTACTTGTGAGGCCGAGGCAGGAGGATCACTGCAAGTTCAAGACCAGCCTGAGCTGTGTAGAGAAACTTTGTCTTAAAAAGACAAACAGAAAGGTAATATTGATGAATACAGTAGAGATGATTAATTGCTTAATGTGTACCAATTGTAAGTTTAAAATGCCAAGCTATGATTTTTTGAGGGTGTATCTTTTTAAAACACAGAAAGCTTTCCTAACTTTGTATGTTTTTTTAATATTTTATTCAGATTTAGTTTTTATAGCCCCTAACAAATACCTTTTTAATGTTGGTTGGGTCATGGGAATGGCTTTTATTTTTAATTTTAGGAACATGCCAGTACCATAACTGAACTTGAAGAACTTCAGTTGCAATTTCAAAAGGAAAAGAAACAGCTTCAGAAAATCACGCAAGAGTTAGAGCTGGTGAAAAAGGTACAAGAGGACACTGGGTCAGGGCTAGCGAGGTGTTCCCATCGCTGATACCAGTAAATATTGGTGCCATTAAGATGACTTTGTATAAAGAGATTGCCTCAATAAATTGAAATTTTAACTTTTTTCACTAAGTGCCCGTTTTTCAGAAGAATGGAGGCTCAGAAACTGTTAGATTTTGGTGTGATGTTGTCTGTCCATGATCACTGACACATGAAGACTTCATTACTATCAAAGCTTGCAGTTTGTCTTATTCTTCAGATTTTGACTACTTTTCTCTACTTTTCCAAAAATCAGGCTAAAAAAATACTAAGAACCACTTAAAAATATTGAAATACCGCAAATCAAGAGCCCCAGAAGACTGGACCTGCCAGTTGTTAATAAAACTTAACAATGCAATGCAATGAACCTAAACAAGTAGAGTTAGACTGCTGGAAAATATTTTATGAGCTGGAAACTAGAAAGCATCCAGCTTCTCATTCTTCCTTACTGCTTACCCTGTTTCTGCTTTAGGAAAGCACAAACAGAACTTGCATATTGCTGTGGCTGCATCTTGCTAGTGAATTTAATTGCACTTGTAACTTGGAACTCTTCTGTGAAATGTGCAGGACGCCCAGCAGACTACACTGATGAACATGGAAATAGCAGACTACGAACGTTTGACCAAAGAACTAAATCAGCAGTTAACTAACAAAAACAGCAAGATAGAAGATTTGGAGCAAGAAATAAAAATTCAAAGACAGAAACAAGAGACCCTACAAGAAGAACTGAGTGAGTACCTCGAATTCACTTTACCATATGATTATATCACAATAGGTTGGGGTGCCACATTAGCTGCCCTTAGCTTTTGACCATGGCCAGGTGCACCTTACCCAGTGTCGGACCTTACTGAGGACCAGAAGGACTGTGAGACCTATGCCTTAGTGAAGGTGTTTGTGGTCCCTGTCAGGGTTTGATGCACTTACTCATTTAAACACCGAAGTTCCTGGTACATGAATAATGTAAAGTAACATTATCTTACCTATAGGTCGCTGACTTCAACAAATTGGGAAAATTTAGTAGTATGATATTTCTTTTTAAGAGGATTATATTTTATTCATAAAACATCTTCACATGTTAATATTGAAAGCTTTGTTTGGTTGCCCAGCCTGTAATTTGTTTCCATGAATGTGGCGTGTGTGGCAGAGCCTGCCGCGTTAGCGCACCCTCTGGTGCTGCTCAGGTCTGTGTCTGTCCGTGGTCTCCCATCTGATGATTTCTGTCTGCTTTCTCTGTCAGCAACCTGTGGTAGTCTCTACCCGTACTGTTGATGTTGTTTCTTTTCCTCTTAGTGTTTTATTTCTTATATTTAGAAACTCTGGTGTTGGCCATGTGAACACTGAAGGCTGTTTGTGTTCTTAGTGATTTGCTGCCTCTTATTATGAAAGGTTTGCATCCCTGGTAATCCTTCTTTCTCTGAAGTCTCCTTCGATGTTCACTGATAGCTATAACCAGACCAGCTTTCTATCAGTGTCTGTTATGCTCTGTCTTCTTCCTTCCTTTGGCTTTAATGCATGTCTGTGGTGTGTTCTTTTTCACAGCAGGTGGTGGCATTTTGCATTTCTCTCTAGGCTCAGTCTCTACTGTTTGAAAGCTTAAATGATTTTTTTTATCATGATTATTATTGTGACTAGTTTTAAATCTACCACCTCACCAGTGTCTTTATTTTGTCCTTTGGTTTCTTCTTTTTCTGTTTTCTCTAAAATTATTTTTTGTGCAACCATTTTATCTCCTTTACTAGCTGACCAGTTTGTTTTTAAGTGGGTGCTTTAGGGTTTTTAATCTTTGTTTTTTTTGTTTGTTTGTTTGTTTTTTGGTATTGGGATCAAATTCATGACCAGACAGTGCTGTGCTGCTGAGCTATATCCCTAGCCCTGCTTTTGGGTTATTACTATACATCTGAATTTTTCACAGATTACCTTGACATAAATCATACCACCTTTTATGTACTTGGGTGAGAATCTTATGATGATATGCTTCATTTCCCTCTACTTTTATCCTTCATGCTTCAGTGAAGAGGATTGAACCCAGGGCACAGTGCTAAATCCCCAGTACTTTCAGAAGTTTTTAAAAATGTTTTTTAACATTGAGACAGAGTCTCAGTAAATGGCTGGAACTTAGAGTCCTCCTGCCTCAGCCTCTCAGAGTACTGGGATTACTGGTATACGCCACTAGCCAGGCTCCTCCTCCTGTTTCTATCACACGTTATTTATGTGTAACACCTTACAGGATGATAGTAAGTTCCTAGCCAGCTGGTCTCAGAAAAGACCAAAAAAAGACCAAGAGGAAGGGATGGGTTCTGTCTGCTTTTTCTAGAGTTCCCCTGTAAGTTTGGCCTTGAGCATTGGGAAGCAAGAGAGGAACCAGAGATGTCCTCAGTGATGAAGTCCATAGCATTTGCAGTAACAAAGCAGTCACGGTGTTGGTGAGAGACGGTGGGTGTCCTGAGATGTGCAGTAGCAGGGCCTTTCTGTGGTGAAGGCCCCCAGGTGACACAGGGCTCAGCTTGCCTGTACCCAGTGTCCAGAGCCTGGGCATAGCCCCGCCGCCACTGCCGCCCCCCCCCCCCCCCCGGCAGATGCAGGGCTAGGTGCGCAGGGTCTGCCTGAAGAGCTGAGTCAGTTCACAAAGCACCAGAGCCCTCTGCAGGGTGCTCACCCTGGTAGCAGTCACCTCCCTCCCTGCTCCTGGGGACATTGCATCACCAGCTTGGGCTTGCACAGGTGAGTCCGGAATGGACACAGCAGAGGAGCCTGACGTGTGGAGTTCCAGTCATCCACCTGTGTCCAGGCACTGGCCTGGGATGTATAGCGTGCAGACCACTGGCTGGGCCTGAGCTGGTCCCCCATGAAGTTCTTGGTCCACACTGCCAGCAGAACTCAAGGTTTTGTTCTGCACTGCACAGGCTGGGTTGTGAGTTAGCAAGCCTGTGTATTTTAGACTGATAAACAGGCTGGGTCCTTTGGAAAATGAAGGCAAGGTACTTATTCAAGACAGCACCCCACTCCCACCGAGAGACTGCTATGTGCAGGAAGGAGCTGCACTGGCGAGAGTGCAGTGCCGAAGCTCTGTAGTACAGCACAGGAGAGAGGGGAGTAGCAAGGTCAGGTCCTTCTTGCAGCCTGGATATGGGCAGAACCTCACTGTTTCGAAAGCTTCACTAGTGAAGGCTTTGCCACATAGGGAGAAGTGATTGAGAACAATTAGGATATTTCTCATCAGTTCATGAAGGAGCTGAACACAAGGAAAATGATTGGTTCATTGATGGGGGCCTGGGGAGGGGGTAGCTGGGGTGCAGGCTGTAGGAGTCCAGGGACAAGGTAGCTGGGGTGTAGGCTGCAGCAGTCTAGGAACAGGACAGCTGGGGTGCAGGCTGCAGGAGTCTGGGGACAACGTAGCTGGGGTGCAGGCTATAGGAGTCCAGGGACAGGGTACCCGGGGTGCAGGCTGCAGGAATCTGGGGACAGGGCAGCTGTGGTGCAGGATATAGGAGTCCGGGGATGGGATAGCCGAGGTGCAGGCTGCAGGAGTCCAGGGACAGGGCAGCTAGGGTGCAGGCTGCAGGAGTCTGGGGACAAGGTAGCTGGGGAACAGGCTGTAGGAGTCCGGGGACAGGGTAGGTGGGGTGCAGGCTGTTGGAGTCGGGGGACGGAGTAGCCGGTTGCAGGTTGCAGGAGTCTGGGGACAAGGTAGCTGGGGTACAAGCTGTAGGATTCTGTGGTTGAAGTAACTGGGATCCAGGCTATAGGAGTCAGGGAATGGGGTGATTGGGTCCAAGTGTAGAAGATGTCAGCTGAATGGTGCAGCATACCTTGGCTGGGATGGGGAGTCCTGAGAAAATAGGGGTGGAAAATAGTATCAGAACAGCATCCATATCAGATAAGCTGGGTATGTTAGTTTTATTTAATTTGTTTATTTTTAAAGAGAATAAAACCAAGAATAATAAAACAGAATAAAACCAACCAAAACAAACCAGTGTGATACAGAACTACAAAATCAACAATAGTTACTATAATGCCTCTTGTTGCCCTCAAAATAGCTGCAGATACCTTTGAATGTAGTAAAAATCAAAACAGAACAGAATAGAATAGAAACAATAAAACAAAACAATGATTGCAATAAAAGACTTCAAAACAAGCCAATAGAAAATCCAAAATTGCTACCATAATCTTGCTATCTTTTAAATAGCTGCTCATGCCATCAGATTTAACATAATCAAACAAAACAAAATAAAATAAAACCCAAACCAACAAAACAATGGAAATGATATAGGACTTCAAAACAAGACAATAGGGAATCAATAATGGCCACAACCCTCAGGGGGAGACCCCCCTAGATGCCACACTGTGTACCGCTGTCCTCTGAACCTATGCTCAGATACTGGCCCTAGACCTGCAAGGTCCATGAAACACCAAAGCACCACAGGCATCTAATTGCATTTTACCTCAATAGCTATCATCACAGCTTATGTTTCTTGGGATAAGCTCGTTGCTGACAGGTGGAGGAGAGAGGGATTGGTACTTCCTGTTTACCAGCCCACAAAGGGGCTGGGGTTTGGCTATCCCCAGTTCAGTAGTGGCCGTGCATGGTGCAGGTTCCCAGATGGGCCTTGCTTCCTGGGTGTGGCCTTGTTCTCTCCCTGAAGTCTGCAAATGGCCGATTTTGGGTTTTTGACAGTGTCTTTTTGTATGTAATTCTGTCTGGTCTTGAACTTACTATGTGGCCCAGGCTGGCCTTGAACTTGCAGAGATCTACCTGTCTCAGCCTCCCGAGTTCTGGGCTTACAAGGGTGTACTACCACACCTAGCCCCTCCGTTTCTCATTACTGTGTCCTGAAAGGTCCCTGATTTTTCCCAAGATGCCATTTATTCACAAGTGTTATTTCATTTGTTATTCTCCCTTTCGTGCCTCCCACACCCTTATTCACCTGTTGGTTCCTTCAGCTCTTTGGTGCTTCCTGCACCATACAATCTACCTTGTTGTTCCGTGTAGAGGTAGCCTTCAGCTTTTCAGGTTATGTCGCCTTGGGTGGCCTTGCTAATGTTTTCATCCTGCTTTCCGCTGTCTTGTGATGTGTCACCCCTAGTCAACCCTAGGGTGCTCCTTGGTGTCATTTGGCTTGTAACTCAATGTGTCTCACTTAGCGTAACTGTTGGAGCTCTTTGCAAAGGCTTTATAGGTAATCTGTGCTTCATAATATGTGTTTTTGGAATGGTATAAGTACTTTCTAGAAAACAGCTGGGTAAGGCTTGCATGTGAGAAGCACAGTTAAAATGTTCCCATTTACCCAGTATGTATAGGAGGGTGAGCTGGACTTTTGCTCACCAGAACTCTCCACAGCACAATGCCACGGCTCCAGTAACTGGGCTGGGCTGAGGCAGGTGCGCTTGTCCTGTGAATGGATTGTGATCGGGGTCCAATACCTGGACACCTGGCTGCTTCACCACAGCTGCAGCAGGGCCACCCATGGCTTCCACAGTGAATCCACTTGTGTCTGCTGTTTTTGTTCCTTAAATCTGTCACAAGACAATTTTGTCTGTTAAATTTGTCCCTTAGTGAGCTTTCCTTCACTAACAGTCCCTCCTGCAAAAAGTTACTGCATCTAAGTTGCTGTCACAAGTGTCTGTCTGAGGTTACAGGACAAGAAATACTCAGTGCCTCTCCTGAGGTGTTTTTTAAAAGTAGCCCTTAGCATTTAGAGACATAGTAACAGTTGCCACACCTTTGTTGTAGAGATATACGAGGACATATTTACAGAGGAACAGATCTGCTTCATTAGGATGCAGTGGGCTCCAGGGTAAATAGGAGAGGGCCGTCCAGGGGTTTGTGGGCTCCCGTAGTGTTTCAGGCTATGTGAGCCCATGATCTGCTCATATACCTGTCCCCATTGTGGCACCAGAGCAGCCCCCAACTGCATGTGATGGAGTGAGCCCACTGTGTCCAGTCAGTCAGGCTGTCTCAGAAGTGGCCCGCCTGAGGGTAGGAGGGTTCCAGGGGTTCCTACACAGTCACCGCTGCTGTCACAGATGTTTGAGGTGCTCTGTGACAGGGCTACAGCAGTTTCCCTCGAAAGTGAGTTAACGTGAAGAAGATACGTCTTACTGGGCAGGCGCCTGTGCACTCATGAAAGCTGTTTCCTCTCTCTGCGGAAATCCCTCCTGCGTCCAGCCTCGCTGCAGTCTTCCCTGCAGCAGCATGAGGAGAAACACTCCAGGGTCAAGCAGCTGCTTGTGAAAACCAAAAAGGAGCTGGCAGACGCAAAGCAGGCAGTATGTTGCTTGTTCTTATCTTCTAGCTTATTCATGGTTCACTGGTGAGTAACTGTGCTTCCCATCTAGCCACTGTTCTCCTTCCACAGGAAATCGATCATCTCACTCTCCAGGCATCCTTAAAGGGCGAGCTGGAGGCAAGCCACCAGCAAGGAGAAGTCTACAAAGTAAGACTTTGTGCTTTCTAAGATTGTAAAAGGGTTTTCCGTGTGGTGGGCAGCAACTCTCTAAGACAATGGTGACCTGAGGTGCACGTGCCATGGTGGGCTGTTTATGTCCCTAAGAGCTCAAAACATTCTCTGCTTCCCTGAGGAGATGTAAAAAGATTTGAGGAATGATGGCAGTCAGTCAGATATGGTGCATACCTTGGGCTGGGTTATTTTTGTGTGTTTCAGGATGCTAATACACTGTGGAGTAGTGCAGCATAGAGCCAGCCTGCCCCAGCCCTCCTCTTTATCCTCCGAATGACAGTGCAATCACAAGAAATAGTGCATAAAGTGGTTTCATGTGTCTGTTTCATGTATATAAATACCACTAGAAATTGTATACACACTTCAGGAAAAGAAAAACATAAATATTTTCATACTAATTTGAGACATCATGAGAGAATACAAATGACCTTCAGCCACAGGAGGTGTCAGAGCGGTAGCCATGGGCTCCGAGCTGCGGCTGTAGAACCTCAGTCACTGAGGCCTCTGCACGTGTATGTCCATCTCCACTAAGGGCTACAGCGCAGTGTTTTCTGTGCTATACAGTGACCTCTAGGGTCCCCCATACGAGGGTCTGTTGAAAAAGCCTATTATTTCTTTTTCTGAAGTGTGTATATATTTTTTAGCAGCTCCATATATAAAAAATGTCTTGAGCTATTCAGTTAAATGGGAATGAACTGTGTATTCCGGGATTTGCATGACTTTTCATTGCTGTTGCTTTACTTATTGTGGTGCGAAACTGTTCTTCTGTTGTCTCCACTCTTCCATACTAACACCTCCACGCTTGCGGGAGCGTCCTGTGTGAGGCACCGTGCTGAGTTCCCTGTCTTCCCCAGATCCAGCTGGCTGAGGCGACTGCAGAGAAGCACAAGCTGCACGAACACCTGAAGGTGTCCGCGGAGCAGCACCAGCGTGTTCTTGGCACCTTCCAGCAGCGGGTGGCTGCGCTGCAGGAGGAGAACTGCGCGGCTAAGGTGTCGTCCCACCCACCTGTCCGCTCCAGGGATTCGCTCATTAGGGGGATGCCTGGCTGAGTATGGCCAGCTCTGTCCCAGTCACTTTAGGAATGCGCAGGACTTGGGATGGACCTTCACCACTCTACTGTGAAAACTCACATTGGGGAACTTAAATTAGGGACTGTGATAAGTAAAAATCTCTACAAAGTCCCAGAAGCAAATAGTGCCACTCTGAAGCTTGCGGACTGTACATTAATCTCCCAGGAAAGAAAAAAACATCTCTTATCAAAGAAAATCATGTTATTCAGAGATTTTTAAAATGTGTAGGAGTAACCTAGTAAGCATGCTTTTTGGTGAAGTTAACTGGGGCTGAAACAAAGCTGTCTTCATTTTCAAAAATGAGTTTTCACTAAAAATAAGATTGTGTTACAATAGAAAATGATTTTCTCTTTTCATGTTATAGGCAGAACAAGCAGCTGTGGCCTCAGAATTTGAGAACTACAAAGTCCGAGTTCACAATGTTCTGAAACAGCAAAAGAATAAATGTGTGCCTCAGGCTGAAGCTGAGGGTGTGAAACAAGAAAGGTGAAGTTTAACCCCGGGACCTCGAGTGGTTCATAATATGAACCACTTGCACAGCACTTTCCTTGCTCCGGGCTGGCGTCCTCAGGATTGGCACTGACCAGAATTTTGCACAGCCAGACACAGGGAGCAGCTGCTTGGCCTTGGTATATGTGGCCCTCAGCTGGGTGTGCCTGCCTCGGCACTGTACATAACCTGAAGGCTTGCAGGGTGCAAGTTTCTGACCTCAGTCTCTTTAGGATTTTGTTGTAGTAGAAAGTTAGACATTAAAATTATTAGTTCTTCCAGTTTTGGAAATTTAAGGGCAAAAGAATAAAAGCACTTCTCTCAGTGTACTTTTTCACCATTAGGTTAAATAGAAGTTGCTTAAGATACTTTACTTCAAGAAGTTTCCTAGCTGGGCATGGTGGTGCACATCTGTAATTCTAGCACTCTGGAAGCTGAGACAGGAGGATCATGGCAAGTTCAGTGCCAGCCTGGGCTACAAAGTGAGCTCAAGGCCAGCCTGAACTGCATAACAAGACTCTTATCTCAAAAAAATAAAATAAAAGGTTCTATGAGGCTCCATGGTGAACACCTATCATCCCAACATTTGGGAGGCTAGCACCGGAGGATCACTGAATTCTAGGCCAGCTGGGTTACATAATGGTTCAAGGCCAGCTTGAACTACGTAGTGAGACCCTATCTCAAAAAAGAAACAAAAGGTTTTAAATTAAATTCTGAGTTTTAGTTTAGAATAAAGTTTTTCCTTAATGCTTGGCACCCTCTCAGATTTGTTCACATAACAGATTATTTAATCAGTCCTGCTGTAATCATGTATCTGCACCCTTCAGCAAGTTACTCAGAGCGTGCTGCGACCAGAGCAGGACAGCTGTTGCAGCAAAAGTGTGTCTGCTTTTGTGAGCAGAGGTTCTGCCAGACTGTTAGCATCCTGGCGGGACCAAGTGATGCTGTGGTATGTGTTCGTCTTCTGTTCTTTGCTTAGGAAGCTATTAAATGTGGAGACTGCAAGCTGGAGTGCATTCTCTCTGCCAGTAGTGCCTCATAAAGCTGAAGTTGACTATTGGTGGGGTATATTTGTTTTCTTTTTTCTTTTTGTGTGAGACAGTCTGGCTGTGGAGATCATGCTGACTTTGCACTCATTTCATAGCCCAGGCTGGCCTCACACTCCAGCATCAGTCTCCTGAGTACTGGAATTATAGGCAGGTGCCACCATGCCTGGCTGTTTTGTTTTTGAGATAAGGTCTTACTATATAGTCCCAACTGGTCTTGAACTAATCATAACCTAAGCTGGATGCAGATTGGTGTCAGCCTCCTGAGTGCCGGGATTATGGGCATGTGCCACCTTGCCTGGCAAAACTTAAATGTTGATGCTTTAATAATACATAAATTGTCACCATTTGCTAGAGCCTTTTTTTTTACCATGTCTGAGTTTTGGGTTCACATCATTTTTTGTTTTTCCTACTTTTTTATGCATTAAATAGTCCCATTTTTCTTTCTCCTGATACTGAGGATTAAACCCAGAGTCTTCTGCTTGCCATGGCAGCCACATTTGCAGTTCTCTTCCCTTTGAGACAGAGTGACTTGCAGGCCGGCCTTGAGCTTGTGATCTTTCCGCCTCTGCCTTCTGAGTGGCAGGGTTTACTAAGCTGTGTACCACCATGCCCAGTTTTTTCCTTTCTTTTTTCTGTGCTAGAGAGCTAACCCAGAACCTGCCACTGAGGGTTTCGGTCACCCCTTAGACACATTTGCTTAAAGTGACAGTAATAGTATTCTCTACAGATTATGGCAGAATTACAGATTTTAACTGTTGCACAAAAATTTTACTTTTTTTTAAGGATTAACAGTGATCAGTTTTTTATTTAAATTTTTATACTAATATCACAAGAACAACATATGATAAAAATTTGTTTCAATAAATCTGAAAAAAGTAGACGTAAAAATCCTTAAAGAAATATTTCGTCATAGTTTAATTGTGCTGTTTTTCTTTAGTATAATGCTGAGCTATACAGTTGATAGAAACTTAGATTTAATATGCTATACTATTATTATGTTGAGAGCATCTAAGTTATTCATGAATTATTTTCTAGAAGGGATCTAAACAATGCTCCAAATTTCATATCCAATTAATTTAACATGCATTACATGATTGAAAACCACTGAAGTATAAATATTATACTATCACTTTTTTTTTTCCAAATTTTATTCTAAACCCTTAAAGAAAACTTTTTAGCCAGGCATGGTGGCACACATCTATAATCCCAGCACTTGTGGGGGCAGAGGTAGGAGGATTGTTCTGAGTTCAAGACCAGCCTAGGTTATAAAAATGAGTTGAAGGCCAGCCTGAGCTACATAGTGAGACCCTGTCTCAAAAAGACCAAAAATAAATAAGTAAATACCTTTCACTCTGATTTGGTCTAACAGCATTCTCAGAACAGTTAATTTCAAACTGTGTGGGTTTTAACTAACGACATAGACCTTTAACATAAAATAGGGTAGCCTAGCCTGATATACTTTAATGGTCTGTTTAATTAGAATATGCAGTATAAAAGGTGAGAGTGTTTTGTAACTGTAGTGCCTGAAATTTGACAATCTAGTAATGTCTTTTTTTCTTGTATTTAACTCTGCTGTGAATTCTTATTATTGTTTGTCCTGTAGAATCATGCATAACAGTAAGAGCATGACATTGAAAAATTAAATGGCTAACATATGTTCGAAACCACAAGAGAAGGTTCACTTCTTTGAGTGGTTTCTGGCTGTGTTCTTCCATGTTAGGGAGCACCTGGAGAAGCTGGTGGACCAGCTAAAGATCAAGCTGCAGGACAGCCAGAGTCACCTGCAGGCCAGCGGGGCGGAGCTGCAGACGCTGCAGTCAGAGCATGACACCCTGCTGGAGAGGCACAACCGCATGCTACAGGAAACCGTGACCAAGGAGGCAGAGCTGCGGGAGAAGTGAGGCACCTTGGGTACACTTGGGTGTGCAAGTCTGAAGTAGGCTTTCTTCCAGAGGCTTCGCCCTTTCCCTCTGGATAGGCTTTGTACTTGACACTTTCAAGGACACACACCACCTGCTGCCTTCATGGCAGCAGTGCTTCTTGCAAACAAGTATTGCTGGCTGGATGTGGCAGTGTGTATCTGTGATCCCAGCACTGTAGGAGGGCAGTTTATCAGGTCAGCCAAGATCCCATCTCAAGAAACAGAAAAAGTGCTCAGGGTATAGCTCAGGTGTGACGGTCCTATGTTCAATGCCTTGTGCCAAAACCTAAGCCCCCCAAAAATTACTTTCCAATTCAGGTTTCACATTATCAACATTCTCCCTCATCTCCAAAGGAAAACATATAGTAGTTCTTACTGAAAAAGAAATACTTATCTTTGCAGCTTTGTCTTCAACTTGTCATATCTTATTAATTGCCCCAGCACTTAACTATTGGCAAAGTGATTATTGTGAACAAGAAATAATGAACTCCTATAATAAGGAAATTGGAGGTAGTCGTGATTTATTAGGAAGCTGAGGAAAGGAGTTGTTTGAGCATCTTCTGTTGGGGTATCAGGATGTGTTCTCTGTGCCATTTGGATTTCTGTCAGAGAATAATTGTGGGTCCCTCAAGTAAAAAGTTTCATTTATTTATTAAAAACAATAAAACTACAAGTAAGCCTTTGAAAGTAGTGGTTCCCAAATTGTGGGTTCCCTGGCCTGGTGTAAGACTGACATGAAAATACAACTTGGGAACTAACACCAGGCAGGCAGCTCTGAGGAGCAGTGCCAGAGACTAAGTCAGAGCTTAGCATAGAAACTGCAGAACCTTCTAACAGGGCATCCAGCAGGCCTGATATGCAGAGATTGGGTAGCTGCTCTAGTAAAACAGGTCTTTGTGTTCAAGTGCTTCATTTTAATTGGCTTAAAGTAGATACTTTCCTCTAAGGCTTACTCTTTAGGATGTGTAATTTATGTAAGATGCACATAAAACTGGCTGAAGTGGGCTAACTAAACGCACAGTTAGTTTGTGCTCTGAATGGAAATCTTTTCCTGTGAACCCTGTGACACAGTCTCTCATCCAAGCTTCTGCATCCACCTTGAGACACAGGGTGCAGTGGGAACCAGCTGGCCGCTGGCTTGCCAGCTTGTAACTCTAGCACGCTGTGGATGCGGAGGAGAGGGCAGCTCGCACCACAGAGGTATGTGCAGGCTTCTGCAGAAGCCTGAGTCTGTGTGCAGTATGGAAGCTCCCAGGTCACCAGGGTCCTTTTGCCCTGCAGGCTGTGTTCTGTCCAGTCTGAGAACTTGGCAATGAAGGCTGAGAATGCGAAGATGGTGACTCAGCTGATGTCCCAGAGCGAGGTCCTCCGCAGCAGCTTCCGAGAGCAGGTGCGGCACTTGCAGGACGAGCACCGGAAGACAGTGGAGACCCTGCAGCAGCAGCTCTCCAAGGTGGAAGCACAACTCTTCCAGCTCAAGAGCGAGCCGACCACACGAAGTATGTATGTACCTAGGAAGCAGCCAGCTCACACTTTCACGTGCTGTGTCACTGTGGCGCATTGTTTACAGATTCACAGGGAAGTTGAGTCCTTACTCGGTAGCAGCCTTTGTCCATTCTGCAGTTAATGTGTATTGGGTTTGCTTACTGAGAAGATATTTGAGTCATGTGAATCTTTGCTGTTATACTTCTGCCAGCCCATGAGGCCTCTGGGAATGTTCACTTGGGTTTACCACCCTCCAGGAAAGGCATTGGCTTGGGACCTCATTTTGATTCACCTTTGGACACTCGTTGCTTTACGCTGCTGGTCATCACATGCACCTGTTCTGTAGCTGAAAATACTGGACAGGGCTAGGCACCTGACACACCCACGTGGCTTCCTCCCTCCCCTGTCTTTTACTGGGTGGAGTTTCCATCCAGCCACTCCTAGCGTCTTCCATCCTTTCAGGGACAGATGTCAGTGTCAGCCAGCGTGACCACATATTCGAGTCTTATGTTGATGGCACTTTGTTTCCCATAGAAAATGTTTCAGGAGCATGGCAAGCTACAGGTCACTTGTCAGGATCAGAAACCAGCATCAGGAGAATTTCACACTTGCCAGCAGCCAAAAAGAAGACAGCACAGAACAGCTGCACGGGAGATGGTAATCTAGGAGTCAGCAGCAGGATAAGCGAGTGGCTGCCAAGATACCAGAAACCCAACAGAATGCTTTAGAAGGGCAGCCCAGAAAACTGGACTTGAAAGGACAAGACAGGCAACTTCATGAGATAGAAAATAAAAACTAAAGTTTAAAAAACCTGAGTTAGAATGCTGTCTCTAACTGAGCAGTGAATAAGTCAAACTTCAGATTTCTTAGAGTCAGGTAAATGTACTTGAAATTACTCTATCTTATAAACTTCATAGTTCTGTGTAAACATTCACTAGGAGCCAACAAGAACGCCTTGACTGGAAGTGCATTGTGTTTGCTCCCTGTGCTGGAGCCTGGGATTTTGCTGCTGAGTTTGTGGGTATGAGCAGGGCTGGCCAAGGAGGCAGCAGGGGCTGTGTCGTGGACTCTGCTGAGCCTGCTGTTGTGGGTGTGTCCTGTCAGAGAGGATGCAGCACCAGATAGCTGGTGTCTAGTTTTATCATTCCCACCAATATTTGGCTATAGGTAAGTCTTTTCCATAAATTAATAAAAATCAGTAGTACTGTATCACTGGCTTTGTGTTAGCCAGCAATTTATCTTAGCCAGCTAATCGCCATTAATTCGTAGCTTCTCCTGAAATGACGAAAGTGGTTAAAAGTTCAGCAACTACATTTCCAGGTATTTTAGCAATTCTTTCTTCACATACTATTCTAATTTTTTAATTTCCTTTCATTGACATCTGCTGGACCATTTTAATCTTCAAGAGTGTCTCTTAAGCCTTCCTCCATCCTTCCTGAACAGTCTCACACTTGATAAAAACCTGTTTACCAACTGCAGCTCCTTGCCAGCCTTTAAAGAACCTGCGAGAAAGGAGGACCACCGACCTGCCCCTCCTGGACATGCACACGGTGACACGGGAGGAGGGTGAGGGAATGGAGACGGCGGACACCGAGTCCGTGTCTTCTGCCAGCACCTGTGCGCCCTCGCTAGAGCAGCTGCTCAGCTCTCCTGAGACAAAACTTGGTGAGTTGCTGTGGCCAGTTTTGTAATTCTGATGTCTTCTTTAATTTTACTCTAAAGGTATATAAATATGTTGTTGTTGATTTGCTCTCAAAGCACTTCAGACTTTCTCAGGCTGGGGAACATCTTTTTTAAAAATAAAATGCCAAATCTGTCCTAGGGTGGGGCCAGCATGGGTGCTAAGCGTTTCCCAGTGACATCAGTGAGTAAACCCCTACTTGCTCATCGTCCCAAATACTGATGTCCCAACTTCCTGCTCTTGGTGATGGCACTGGCTTTGCTGTACTAACCGTAGCATCGGGTGTGTTGTGTTCTTAGCAGTCGCGAGTGTCACTGTTGATGGCTCAGGGAACTCTGTCATCTTTGAAGTGTGGGGTCACCTGAAATAGGGGCCATCTGTACCCACACTGTTCCACAGTTCTCCATCACTGGAGAGGAGCATGCGATGTGGCAGCTTGAGGGAAGAGTAGTTTGCTTTGATTCACACTTTTGTTGGTTTCAGAGGGCTCAGCTGCCTCTCATTTGGGGCCTGTGGCAAGGCAGACACATGGGGGTGGGCACATGCTTCCCTCACTGCAGCTGGGAAACAGACAGGAGAGGGCTGAGATCCTACCTTCTTCCTCCCTGCAACAGGATATCAGGCTGAGGACCAGTCTTTGAAACACTGGCCTTCCGGGCATAGCACAGCTCCAACCAAAACGGCAGTCGGTGACTGCATTGTGAAGCCGTAAGAGATGGTCTTGCGCAGTGTGAACAGGGGAGTAGCCTCACCCTCCAGGCCTGCAGTAGCTTTGTGACATAGCCAGAGTTACCTATGCACTCTGAGTATACTATCTGAAAGTAATGTCTACCCCACCTCATAGAAAGTACTTAAGAGGGCTGAAGTGCAACAGTCAGTAGGTGGGATGCTTCCCTCACTTGCACGATAAATGATGCACGTAAGTTCACGGGACCCTGGTAGATGGAGAGAGGATGCATAATGACACCACTAAAAGGTCTAGGGTGGGGCATAGCTCAGTGATGAGTGTTGACCTGACTTTTACCAGACCGTGACTTCCTTTCCCAGCACCACACAGAAGAGAAGATGCCTAAGATGTGAGCCTGGAGTTAAACTCTTATATATCACAGGAGTCTCTTTGGTTACATTCAGCCAAATAGCATTTTAACTGAAGTGTGTTTAATAGCAAAGAGAGTGGCCTTATCAGTTTTGCAGTGTAAAACATTTAAATGTTGTTCTTACTTAGACTGTTACCCTGATTTTGAAAATTCTTAGACCATCTTGCAGAGCCTCCTCTGTGGCATGCTGAGTTTACCAAAGAAGAGCTGGTTCAGAAGCTCAGCTCTACCACAAAGAGCGCAGAGCACTTGAATGGGCTGCTTCGGGAGACAGAAGCAACCAATGCCATCCTCATGGAGCAAGTCAAGGTGAGGCCACCTGGCCACAGCAGCCTGTGAGGAGCGCTGGGGAGGAGGTTCAGACACTGGGGGCCCGTTGCATCTTGATTCTGTATAGTAACAGATGTTCAGTGCTTTTGTATCTATTATGTAAATACCCCTTTAATTTCTACTTTCTCTAACAAACCATAATAGATTCAGAAATTAGAAATGCCCATATTCCACATACACATAAGTCAACTCCAGCAAGTTCAGGTCCATGGGGACGCATGCGATTTAGATTAGGGAGCAGGTGACCATCACTGGCCTCTTAGTACTGGTACAGTGGATGTGGAGAAGTAGCAAAGGAAGTGTTTCCTTTTCAAAGGCACCACCAAAAATACCTAGGAATGGCCGTTAAAGAGTTTCTTGAACAAGGCCTTGCACTGTAGCTTACTTAGTGGAAGAGTGAAGTCTTTTAGCCAGGCGTGGTGGTACACACCTGTAACTCCAGCAGCTTGGGAGCCTGAGGCAGAAGGAGGCAAGGCCAAGGCCAGCCAAACAGTGGCTCAAAAGAAAATAAAAACTAAAGAAGACTGGAGGTGTAGCTCAGAGATACTGTGCTTGCCCAGCATGCATGAGGTCTGGGTCAATCCCTAGTTCCACCAAAAAAAAAAAAAGTTAACATTATACCAATTGAGCAGTTTTCATGGCTCAAGCCTTGGCCTTTGCGTGCGCCTGGCACGGACTCAGAGTCGCTGGGAAAGAAGGAAAACTCAGGTTATAGGGCTGGAGCACAACTCAGATTTGTGTCCATCGGGCAAGTGCTGGTTTCTCCACCATGTGCCCAAGTAGATCTGTCCCAACTCTGCAGGCTGCCCACTGTCCTTGCCAGGTTAATTTTTTTAATGTTGAATTATTTGCTTGTTTATAGTTAATTTATATATATATATATATATATATATATATATATATATATATACAGCCTACCACTAAATATCTGCATAAGCATCTCCATAAGTATTCCCCCAGTAGTCAAAATGACACTCAGTTACTCAGCAGCATGGTGAACCTCCCACAATCTCTAAGATGTTATCTTTCCAGAGATTTACACCCAAATGATTTCTTGCACTTGATTGGGTTTTTTGTTTGTTTTGGCTTTTTTGAGACAGGATCCCCTATGTAGTTCAGACTGGTTTTAAGCCTACAGTGTAGTCCAGGGAGGCCTCAAACTAAGAGATTCTCCTGGCTTAGCCTCCCGAGTGCTGGGACTGCAGGTGTATGTCCCCTCACCTGGCCTATTGTCACCTTTTTAAATGGATTTTAGGGGCAACAGTTTCACTGCTTCCTGGACTGACCTAAAATCATGAAGCATACACCAAAACAAAATCTGCCTGGAAATGACCCTCGGAGACAGCTTCCTGTTAGCTGTGCCTATGGTGTGGCACCCATTTTCCTGGAAGCAATTGAGCATGTCCTGTCCTGAACCCAGCTGTTGTCTTGGTGCTCTGTGTCCCAAGGATTAGCATGGCCTGGGGCTGGGCGGTGGCAGGGAAACTGCAGCCTTTAGACTCCAGCCTCTTGGGCTCCGGTTCTGCAGATCACAAAGGTGCGTCGGGGTGGGGGAGGGAGCTTTTCTGGTTCTGTAGACTTGGTCCCTGCCCAGCTTCCAGCTCCGTAGCCTGAGCCCTGGGCTTCAGAAGCAGCAAAGTGCATTCCCACAGATGCATCCTCTTCAGAGCCCATCCCATCCTCCCATCGCCTCTGCTAGGCCCTCCTTCCTTCATTGGCATGGGTGATGTCCTCAGGCTGCTGTATCCAGCCAGCAGCTGCTAGAACCCATTTATAATTCATTCTCTGACACCAGCTTCTCAAAAGTGAAATCAGAAGATTGGAAAGAAATCAGGAGCGTGAGAAGTCCGTGGCCAGCCTGGAGTACCTGAAGAACGTTTTGCTGCAGTTCATCTTCCTGAAACCCGGCAGCGAGCGGGAGCGGCTCCTTCCTGTCATCGACACCATGCTGCAGCTGAGCCCCGAAGAGAAGGGCAGACTGGCTGCCGTGGCACAGGGTACTCAGGGCACGGGGCTGGGCTGGGCGTGTGTTCATGGTGCTCTGACTTTGCGTGGCTCCTTCTGTCCCTAGTTGTGTAAGAGTGACTCAGTATGCTTCCTGGGCAGCTGGAGCCGGACACCTCATTTCCATACAGCACGGTACCCAGCCATACCAGGCTGGGTCCTCTGGCTCTGAGAATGAGGGCTGCGGTTCTTGCCTCATCCAGCCCTCAGCCTAGACAGGAACACCGGTAGAGCCATGCCCAGTGCTTGGCACCCTTGAAAGTGTGAACTGCTGCTGCTTCCTAAGTACCAGGAATTAAACCACAGCTTTCACACTGAACCATGCTGCCATCTTTTTTAAAATTTTGAGTTGAGGTCTCAGCCTTAAGTTGCCGGGGCGTGGTGACTCAAACTTGCAGCCCTTTCTCAGCTTCCTGATGCTCAGATTCATAGGCACACGCCACGAGGCCTGGCCCAACATCATACAGTATTCTTTTATCTTTTGGTACTAGAACTCAAACTCAGAACCTCACACTTGCCAGGAAGGCCATGCAATATTCTTAAGAAGAAATTTAAGCTGTGTGTAGTGATGCACAGCTGAAATCCCAGTACGTGGGAGGCTGAGGCAGGAGGACTGCCTTGAGCTTGAGGCCAGCCTGGGCTACATAGTGAGACCCTGTCTCAAAACAAAACAAAGAAACAAAAAAATGTAGTAGAGCACTTACCTAGCATGCACTAAGAGCTAGGTTTCATCCCCAGCACTGAAAAAAAAAGAAATACAGAAATACTAACATGTCTTAGATGGCATATAGTCAGTAAAAAGACATTAACTGCTTATATTATAGAATGACTGTAGAATGTCGATGTCATACTGAGAAAATGTGATACTTTTTTTAACTTCCCAAAGGTGAGGAAGAAAATGCTTCCCGGTCCTCCGGATGGGCCTCCTATCTGCATAGCTGGTCTGGACTTCGATAGATAGATGGGGAAGAGACCCATTAGCCGAACAAGACCCATCTGGAGAGCCAGTTCATGTGTGTCACTGTTGTTCTGTTGAAGAGTGTCCATGTCTTGCTGTGCCCTTCATGTCTCAGACCGGAACGGAGTGAAAGCACAGCAGCTCTGCCTGGCCCCAGGGAGCTGCCAGGAGCGAGGGTTAGGGTTATTAACCTTAACCACTGCAGCCCTGGCACCCATGCAGCTCTGGTATCTCAAGAACGTGGAAGTCAATAGCTGCTGAGGACATCTGTACTCAGGGTGTGACGAAAACTGGTTTGCTGGTCAGGTGGGCTTGGGGTTATGAAGCTCTCTGCTGCAGCTGGTTGTGCAGCCAGCTGGAGTGGTCCTTTGCTGTGCATGCTGCCAGGCTCCCAGCTGTCCAGGGCCAAGGTGTGGCTGTGTGACAGGCCGAGGGGGTGGTCCAGCCCCTCCCAGGCTCCCCCTGTGGGACCACTGCCAGCCTGCCTATGTCTGCCTCCAGAAGAAAGCTGCTCAAAGTGGTGCTGCCTGAGTTGGCCTTGACTTTAGAATGTGGCAGAGACTGCTGGTGCATTCCTGCCAGCCACTGTGTGATGCAGAGGTAGCATTTCTGGTTGGATGTATTTTATTGACAAGATCAAAGCTGTGCTCTGACAATTGAGAGTTCTGGTTTTACTCTGTGTGGGTCCCATGCAGTGTGTGCTCAGCAGCCCTCAGGCCCCTCAGTGATGCTGCACCCAACTCTGCAGGGGAGAGCTGCTGTCTATACTCAGGCTCCTGTTAAGGTCGGTTTCTGGCTTAGTGCACTGCAGGTTTGCCGCCGACATGATGAGTCCATCCTTGGAAAGGATTCCTTCTCTACTTCTGCTTCTGTCTTACAGATCAGGCCAGACTGGTGAATGTATTGATGAAGATGGATCTATTTCAGAGCTGACTTTAAAAGTCTATTTTTACTTTATAAGCTGTGAATATGAGTGTGCCAGCAGCGTACATGGTGACTGTAATGATATTTAAATAAATTTTACTTTTTCTTCGAGCCTATTCCTTTCAAAGTCTATATGAACTGATTTTGAAAAATAATCTGTACTTAATGAATGTAGTATCAAAAATAGCTTTTGCATATAAAAACTACTTTGATTACAAAAGGCATATTCTTTCATGGCTTCAGCAATGAGGAAATTAATGATTATTTTAATATTTCTATTAAACAAGTTGAACTGTAAGATGTATCACAGCTGCTGTTTCCATTCAGAATGGTCTCTGGGATTTTCTCCCTCCCCACCGTCCTCACTCAGGGAAATTCTGAGTTCTCAGGAGTGAGGCCACTCATCCTCAGTGGGCTCCCTTTCTGCTCAGCCTTTTTTGGGAAGATAGACACAGGTCCAGCGGCAGATGCCAGTGCATCTCAGTTTCATAATTGAATCAGAGGGGTCTTAACACGAAGGGTAGCAGGAGGGGTGCAGCGCTCTCAGCTCCATCTTAGGACTGTGAGACGAGAGATAGTCTAAGGTGACTTCAAACAGGACTGTAAAGAGCTGTGTAGCACTGGCAGAGGAGAGGTCGTGATCACCCAGGGAAGCCTATGGCTGCCCAGCACAGTCCCCACAGGAGAGGGGGCCTCCAGCCTCTCAGCCCCAGGGGCAGACTCGATACCGTCACTAGGTATCAGAACACATCACTAGATGTGTTTCCCTTCCATAAAAGCGCAGTGTGCTGCTACACCAGCTGTGCACAGTACTCCATAGGACCCCAAACCAGACCTAGAAAACTGAGTGAAACTTGTAACTGGAGCCCTGCATGGTGGCTCACACCTGTCTTCAGTTCCTCCAGGGGATGATGCAGGAAGACTGCTTGAATGCAGTGAGTTCAAAGCCATCCTGGTCAGTGGAGTGAGAACCCAGCTCCAAAGTATGACTGTTAGGCCCATGGCATGTGCCTGAAATCCCAGCACCCAACAGACTAAGGCAGGAGGATCACTGTGAGGTAGAGGCTTGCCTGGGTTGTGTAACATGTAACAAGACGCTGTCCCCTCAAAAAAGTATTACTGATATTTAATAAAACATGGCAGTGTCTCCTTAGTTCCATCAGTGATCTTTATTTTTTTGTTTTTGTGCTGCCCAAGCCACATACCCAGCCCAGGTGATCTGGCTGTTTGCCTGTGTGTTGACACTGGTCCTCTGGTTTCTGGGACATGATGAGCTTATATGTAGTTATTATTCTCACAGTAACAAAAAGGTGGAAGCCAACAACTCAGCCCACCTGAAAGCAGGTCCCCAAAAGCTTGGAGAAGCTAGGCTGGTACTAAGTAACCACTGCCCAGAGGCCCAGTGCATCTGACCTGAGTCAGGACCCCACCACAAGGTGCGCTGCATGGCCAGTATGGGTCTTCACTGTAAGGTTGCAGACCAGGTCCCCAAAGACTCATGCTTCTAGGTGGTCTTTATTTAGTGAAGTCCACCTCACCAGTTTTTCTTTCATGAGTCATGGTTTTGATGTCATATCTGAAAAAAATCACCAAATCCAAGGTCACTAAATTTTCTTCCATGTTATCTTCTAGGAGTTCTAGTTTATATTTTACAGTTAGGGCTATAATACGTTTTGAGTTAATTTTGTGCAACGAATAAATTCTGCATCTAGACATAATATGCTTCATTTTTTTTCCCTTTCAGTGCTAGATATTGACATTGAACCCAGAGAATACTGAGCAACATTCCAGGCCCTATGTTCATTTTAAGACTGGGTCTAGCTAGCCTTCAACTTGAGATCCTCCTGAGTAGCTGGGATTATAACTTCGTATATTCTTTTTTCTCTGTGTGTCATACATGTGTGTGTACATGTGTATGTACATACATGTGCATGTTAGCAGTGCACATAGACTGGGGAGCTGGTGCATAAACGTAACACATCTCCATTCGTTTTTACTTTGCTGCTTTAGAGCCAGCCAACTATAAACTGAACCTCTACAAACTGTGAGCTAAGACACATGTAGAATCTGGAAGATAAAAAAGGTGACATGAAAGTAGAGCAGGAGAAGAAGGGTATGGGGAGGGCAGGACAAGCAATATCCGCGAGAGGGGGAGGCTATAGGGAGAGTGTGTTATACACAAATGTGACATGCCCCAAAGGAGTCCCTTGGTCTGTGCAATGCACATGAATGTACATGGCCTAAACTTACCAACAATAAAGTGGAGATTGTCAGACTACATTATGTAAACAAGCTCATTATGACAAGCTCACTTTCCATAAATGGCTAAAATAAAAAAGGCAAACCAGGCATGGTGGCACATACCTGTTATCCCTGCACTAGGGAGGCTGAAGCAGGATTGCTATGAGTTCAAAGCCAGCCTGAGTTACACAGTGAAGTAAAGGCCAGGTTGAACTATAGACCCTGTCTCAAAAACAAAACAGAAAAAAAAGCCAAACACTAATGAAAGAAACAGTGCCAACCTTAGTAACAAAGCAGACTTGAAACAAAGCCTGGTACTATGAAGAAAGGACACTAAATGATAAATCAAGGGGTCACTTCAGAAGATGCAATAATCATAAATACAGTTCCACAAGAGGAGAAAGTAGGATTACTGAGAGATACTAACTTCAGGCCTGGGTGAGGATGCATAAAGTGAACCAGCACTAGGAGAACCCTGTCAAAACTCCAAACGACTCATGAATGTACTGAAAATACAGGTGCAGTCACACCCCAAGGCCACAGGAGCCAGCAGAAAGGGTCCCACTGATCAGGTTTTGGGAACATTTTGACAATTTGAGCATCAATAAGAATAATGAGCCTTAACTAACCAAAACATTCTAAACAAGTCTGGAAGTTCATAAATAAAGATAAAAGAGCTAAGCTGTTTGGCTATAATGTCAGCTAGAAGCTACTTCGGAGGCTGATGAAGGATGATAGCAACCTGGGTAACACAGATACCTTGTCTCAAAGAAAGGGGGGCGGTGCGGGAGATGTAGACCAGTGTGACAGTGGGTTCAATCCCCAGAAAAACAAAAGAAACAAAAGACAAAGAATTTATGTCACGATTACCATCATCTATCTCCAGAACTTTCCTATTTTGAAAACTGAAGTTCTATCTCCATTGATCCTTTGCCCTTCTCTCTCCTCAAGCTGTGACAATCACCTTTCCACTCTGGGAATCTACTCTGGGAATGACTGGTGCGTGCACCTCGTATAGGCGGAATTACATTATTTTTGCAGTGCTGGGTTTGAACCCAGGGCCATGTATGTGCTAGGCAAGTGCTCTAACAGAGTCACAGCCCTATCCCGCTGACTTCCACATCGGACCTCGGCCTCCAGGAAGCAGCCCTGCCGACTCAGCTCCCCTCGCAGAGGTCAACTCCCCTGGTCGCAAGTACCTCTGTTGTCCCCAGCTTCCTGGCTGCCCCGGGCACCAGCGTAGGTCCTTCAGTGCGTCCTGAGGCTGGTGTGTCCCCGAACTGCCCCACTGTGAGGCTGCTCCCCGATGCACAGAACCTCCATGGAGAGGCAGGAACCCCGCACTCATGCTTGCGGCCGCCCCGCATCACCCCAGTCCTCCGCCGCGCCCCTCCCTGCCCGAGCCGCCCTCCCGAGACCACCGCTGTCCTCCCGCCCCGAGCCCCTCTATCCTGCCACATTCAGGATCTGTCACCTATCTATCTCTGGCGTTTGCTGTCCCGTATTTTGTCTTAGAACGGGTCCGCGGGGACCAAAGGGAACCTGCTAGCACCTCACTGCAACAGCCGGCGACCGCGTCTCGGCCTTGTCTACAGAGGCCGCGGTGGCCGAGCTCTTCGGGCCTGTTCGCGATACACTCCGCCAGCGTCACGAGTTGCAGAGCATCTCGCAGTTCTTAGACTCTGCGAAAGCTCAACTTGCGCGCCTCATCTCTCCTGCGCCTGTGGATTGGGAAGGAGGGAACGCACCGGAGGTGGGCGGGACCGGAAGGGGAGGGCCAGGCCGAAGAAGGCGGGGCTAGGGGCGCGCGACTGGGTGGGCGGGGCGGGGCGGGTCCGCCTAGAGGCGGGGCGAGGCGAGGCGGTACTTGCGCGGCGGCTGGGGCGGGTTCCTCGGCCTTGCCCGCCATTTGCGCACTGACGCCGTCTCGGCCGTCTTCGCTTCCGGCTGAGCCTCTGGACAGCGGCGGCGGCAGTCTGCGAACGACCGGGTCAAGGACGCGTCGGCGGACGTGCGCTGGACGAGGCGCGCCTCTGCGGAACGATGCTGGGCGTGGCGGCCGGGATGACCCACAGGTAGAGCCGCGCCCCCTCGCGCTGCCACGTCTGCTGCGCCCGGTGCCCCGGCTCCGGGGTCCGCGGCCCTGCCCGTCCTCGTTTCCTGTTTCTCAGCCCGGTTCTCTCGCGACCCCCGGCCTCCGCGGCGCCCAGCTCCCGGCCCCGGCCCCGTCTGGGCGGCTGCGGCGGCGAGGCCGTCGCCGGGTCCAGGCGGCTCGCGGCCGTGGTCGAGCGCCTCCCAGGCGCACTTTGCGGGACTTCGTTCCGTCCGGCCGCGGTCGCCTGGTGGCCGTGCTCTTTGAAGCAGTGGAGGAGATGTTTCTCACAGACTTGTGGTCGGGAGAGGGGACGGTTCGAATAGCTTTTCCAGTCGATTGGGGTGTTCTTTGTTACCGCACCAGCGTGTCCTAAGTGGTGGGTTCTCTAGGTTGGTCGGGATGTGCATTCTGAAGCCGGGTCGCGGATTTTGCACAGGATTCCTTGGCGTGTATTGTGGTTTGAATGGATCTGTTCCCTGTAGTAACGTCAGTGGGAAAATGTGCTACCGCATTTCATTAATACCACTAAATAGCGTTCCTTAATGTCTCCACTGATTTCATTAAAGTCCTGAAGAATTAGGGGACTTTCATTAAAGTCCCCACTGAAGGCAGGGGATCTAAATTTCCCAGCATTCTAGTTTTCAATTAAAAGTTTAATTTCTATCTTGGCAATAAAATACTGTCGTTTTTTTCAAAGAGGTTCACATTGTTTAGTTTTAAGGAAATGTCTGTTAGTGTAGGTCTGAATCGCAGTGGCTTGTTTATTCTCGAGATTAAAATGGTGTCTCATGAAGAATATATCTAATTGGTCTCATCTCGCAGCCACCATGCGACAGACCACCAGAAAACTCTGGTTTGCGGAAGGGCTGTGTGCCCAACTGCCTTTTGGTCCTGGGTAGCCAAAAAGAGATTCAAGGATCAACACTTAATAATAATAGTAATCGGTACTGCTTCCTCACGGACATTTTTTGTTTTTTAGAAAGGTATTGAATATTAAGTTGATACAGAGTTGAAGATAATGCGAGATGAAAACAGTTAATGGATATACAGTATAAGCAGAGATTTCCTTTTAAGACCTTTGGTCTCTCCCTGATCCAGCTCCCCATTCTAAATTTCTCACTTGTAATTCCTTATTTGTTTCTTTTTCAGCAGTAAAAATATTTATATTTTTGTGTAACCATCATAATCTCCAGAACTCTAATTTGTCTTACGGACTCTTGTATCCTTTAAACACAGACTCCCCATTTATTCTTCGCCAGAGTTCCTGGTAACCACCATTTTACTCTGTCTGATGTTTGACTGCCCTGGATACCTCTTATATTGTAATCTTGCAGTATTTGTTGCAGGTAGAATAATTTGTTCCTTTATTTTGCCTAGGTTGTAATTTGTGGTATGAGTGCATAACTATTTACTAGAGGGAGATTTGGATATTTCTAGAACAGGGAAATTAAGTTGCTGTGAAAGCTGGGTGTGGTGTCACATGCCTGTAATTCCAACACCTGGGAGGCTGAGGCAGGAAGATTGCTAAGAGTCTCAGGCTGGCCCTAACTCGGTAGCAAGACCCTCTCTCCAAAAAATGAACATAAATTTTCCTTTTCTGGCTTAAATGTCCAAGAGTATGCAGTTGCCACATTGTGTACATACTTCATGTTAAAGTTTTTGTTTTGGTTTGTTTTTTTTCTCTTGGTCTTTTTAAGACAGGGTTTTACTGTGTAGTTTAGGCTGGCCTCAAACTCATTTTGTAGCCCAGGCTGACCTCAAATTCTCAAATATCCTCATGCCTCAGCTTTTCCAGTGCTGGGATTGTAGGAATGCGCCCCCCGCCCAGCACATGTTTAGCTTTTTAAGAAACTCACATTTTCATCTGATGAAATGGCTACCATTTCACCAGATGTGCAGTTGACATTTTTTTCCTGCTATGTCACAGAGGTTTGCAAAACCACAAACTTACTTGGTGGTGCAAACTTGTAACCCCAGCTCCCTAGGAGGTAGAGGCAGGAGGATCACAAGTTCAAGTCCATTCTGGATAATTTAACAAGACCTGATCTCAAAATGAAATTTTAAAAAAGGATTAGGGTTGTAGTTCAGTTGCAAAGTGCTTGCAAAGATGAGTACTTTTTTTTTATAGTACTAATAAAAATATAGTAAAAATAAGACAACAATGAAAACACAACTTTCTGCCCCTATGGCCCTTCCCTCATCCCTATCTTCCAGGTCAGTGTCGCTATTAAGGGAAGCTATCATGGCAGGGTGTGTCTGCCTGAAATATAAATGTTCCATGCCTGTTGGTATGGTGAGGAAGTTGAGTCCTTGGGTTTTAATAATACAGCCAATGGACCTGTGGTTGTCAAACAGATACCTTCAGTTCTTGTTGTTCTATGCTGGATAGATTTAGAAGAGATCATCAGTCAGAATTGTGTTGCCTTGATTTTACCATTCTCACTCTGTCCTTGGCATTTGGACCATCTGTAGGAAGCTCTTTTCATAATTGCAGATAAAGCCTGTAAGCTCCTTTTTACTCTCAGAGAGGACTTTTGAACTCCTCCCTGGTAAGAAAAACTCCCTGGAAGAGGGGTGCAGAGCTACAGTAGCAGAGCCTGTATTTTCAGGAATGTTGCATTTGTTTTTCAGAACATGATTTACATAAACCTTAGTACATGTTGTTAGCTAGGTTTACCTTTACAGCTGGGGGTATAGCTCAGCATTACAGTGCCTGCCTGGCAAACGCAAGGTCATGAGTTTGATTCCCAGTACAAACAAAAAGTTAGATTTACCTTTAAATAGGAAAAGCATCTTAAACTTATTTGTAGCTGTTTCAAACTGGTTCCACCAAGGGAATATCGTCTATATCATATGCTGGGCAGTTGCCATAATTGTCTTACAAAAATTTTAACTTTGAGGTGCTCTGAGCAAGGCCATACTACGCATTGTCCTTTACTGTGCCATTCCAGTAGCAGCCCACCCTGCCCCATTCTGACAGTGTCTCACAGACCTCTCCACACTGGCCTCACTTCAGGGATGGTTCTGTGCACTTGTCTGTGTTGGAGCGTGTTTTGGAGCTTGCTGATCTGCAATGAGCTTAAATAGAGGAGTGAGGAAGCTGCAGGTGAAACCAGGTGAGAGGTGCGGTGATCCATCCTCGTCCAGCCTTGTGTGGATGCTGAGGGCATTGCCTGGCAGTAGGAGACGCTGGATCCAGGGTTGGGACACCCAGGAGTCTGAGGTCTTCACAGCATGTGTCACAGTTAGGCGTGGTAAGTATGATGAAGGACACGACCTTTTAAATACTTAGTATGTGCACACAGACACACACATTCTTTTCAAACAAAAGTCATATTTATTCTACAGTTGATTTTTAGAGGATTTTTTAAGCATGGTAAAATATATACAACATAAACTGTACTAGTTCGGCCGTTTTGAAGTTTACAGTTCTACAACAGTAACTAATTTAACACTGTTGTACAGCCATCACCACTATCCATCTCCCAGTGACTTGGTGTCCATTAAGCACTAACTTGCCCAGCTAGCTGTCAGTAGAGCACAAGAATCATTAAATACTGACTCCTTGCTTCTTCCAGTTGCTTGTTTATTTATTTATTTATTTATTTATATTTAGTACTAGGGATTGAACTCAACCTCACACTTGCCAGGCAGGTGCTTATGCCACTGAGCTAATTCACCCAGGCCCCTGCTTTTTTATTTTTTAACCTAACAGGCTTAAAGATTTTCCCATGTGACACATCAGGGTTAGCCTTATGTTTTCTAACCTTCATTTTAACAACTGCACAGTGTTTCACAGTATTCATGTTAGTGTGCCCTAGCCTTGCCTGCCACATTCTTGGGTTTCAGGTCTTGTCATCAGACACTTTGGGCCTGTTTGCTGGTTTTAGCAGGGGGCTTTGGAGTGTAGCATCAGTACTATATTGACTGTATTGCATGAATGATGCCCTTTGCTCTGCCCAAGACTGTGCCTTCAAGGCTTCATGACCTCTTCAGGCTTTAGCTTCTTAATTTTAAAGTGATCCCACCCTCTTAGGAGTTAAGATTTAAATCCAGAGGCAGCCACAACATTTCTGAAGGATACAAATGAGATTGGTAACTGTTTCCCTAGGAAAAGGGAGTGTAGAAACCTAGGATGAAGAAATTTTTGTTGAATCTTTTCTTGCATTACTTTGTGGATATGTTGCTTTTTAACACATTTACATCTCATCAGGACCATGGCAGATGGGCAGTTACAGTAACAGCAGCTTCCTGTCACCCTGCTACCTCTGCTGATGACAAAACATGGTTGCTTTTGATTTCTTCTCCTTTACTCCTTTATGTCTACTTTCTTACTGAGTTCTTACCTCAGAAATTTCATAGTTCCATCCTTTTTTACTCCTTTCTTATGGACTTCATTTTTACCCCCATTCTTAACATCTTTCAAATGAATGTGAGATAATGAAGTATGAAGGCAGGGATACTGCTAAGAAAGCATAGCATGCCCTGTAGACTCTAGAGTCATTCCAAGTGCCCAGCAAAATGTATGCATGTATTATGTATTTGAGGCAGCACAGATAGTATTTTATGTGTTTCTATTTGTCATTTAAATATTGATAAAGTACAGTTCTAAAGGAGTATGGGATATGTAGTAGCCCTATGTAGTTCAGGATGGCCTTGAA